GGGAAATAAAATATGGTCATCATTACCTAATCAGGATTCAGGTGACCAAAATTGTTTCACCTTTCAGTTTTCCCATTGAATTCTGAACTGCAATTAATTCTAACCAGTAACCATGCAAATGGCTAAAAACAAAACAAAATAGTCAGGCTAGCTGAAAACAATTTACAAATAACAAATTAGGTTCGCAAGTGGAGTTAAAATCAAAGCATATACCATCCTATCAACACAAAATCACAACTTCAACATCTCATCCTAAAACTCTTTACTTGTTTTTCTTCTTCTCTTTCTATCGTTATAGCCTCCCTCGTCGTCGTTCCTGTGCCACAAAGGAAATGTTGACACCTTCTTCCTTAGCTTTCTTAAGATGCTCCACTGTTCGAAGCAAACTTATATATTGTTTGTAGTTTATCGAGGTAATACTGCAACATAATCTTCAAAAAAATGAAAGATAATGTAATGAAATTACGTTTCAACTTACGAACTCTTCACTTTTCGAGTCTTATTCATTGTTCCTTATTCTTGTTCCCTCCATATGCTTAGAGACAAACCAAACCTTTAGTGTGCACTATGCTCAAATTTTAAATACAATCCTTATCAATCTTACCTTAACTGTGATTATAATATGGATTAACTATTCAAAGCCCAAACATGAACACACATGTGAACCAAAGCCCCCACTTATTATATTATACTATTTCATGGTCATGGGGGAGGTAAGGTAAGTAACTTTGACTCTGTTTTTTTACTCCCTTTTGCTTTTTGCTGACTCTGTTTTCTTCATGAACAGTACCAACCATAAGAACAGGCTTTATGTGAATAAACAAAAGTTCATGCTGCTGCTACGATGAAGCCAAACCACAAGTAGTGGGAAGAAGAAGAAGAAGAAGAAGGCGTAGGATTCTAGAAAGCCGAATGATCAAAGATCTGGAGACAAGGGCCTAGAAAAGGCGATAACTAAACTAAATCAGAACAGAGCACGCCTTCACTTTCTCCCATAAACACACTTTCATTTCCTTCTTCTCTCTTTCTCATTCGGCTCCCACCTTTTTACTCCATTACCTCCTCCTCCTATCTTTCCTGTGGATTAAGAAGTGGATTGGTAAGATAAAAGTAGACATTGTACTTCTAAAGTTACTACCATTTGGTTTGAAGTTTGAACTTTCTTGACCTGTTAATGATCAGTGAACTTGTTAGGTCCTAGCCGGTTCTTGAGCTAGAATTTCGTCAAATTCTAAGTGAGAGTATCATAAATTTGTTCAACCGAAATGAAACTATCTGACCACTAGTAAATGATGATAATGATACGTTTAGATGAAGGACTTTTTACCAAAAATATATAGAAGAAAGTTAGTTGGTTTATAGTAGTGGATACAAAATTGCATCTTGGTTCATGAAAAGAAGTTGCATTTTTTTTTTTTAATAAAGCACGTCGAGATCAAATTTAGAAGATTAATGAATTATAATTTGATGGTAAAATGGTAAGTGAATCGCCATAGACTCGTATGAATTTTATTATAGATTTTCAAAGGTAATTGGTCCAACTTTATAGCTTACTAATTAAATGACATATTTGTACAAATTAACCTCTGGTAAAGATCCATCACATTCCAAAATCCAAACCCACAAACAAGCTGCAGGTAGATCGAATTTTGAACAAAAGGGGCACGTAACCATTTCCCCAAAAGCCTAGAAAGGAAAAACTAAAAGGGAAAAAAGATATGCAAGGAAAGGAAAGAAAACCGGCAGACAGAAAGCAGTGCACCGATGAGTCACAAAACCTAACAACAGAGAGAGAGAGAGAGAGAGAGAAAGCAGGGGAGAAGAAGGCAGAAGGCCACTCAACTCAGTCACTCGAACCTTCACCCAACTCAACGCAACTCACCCAGCATTTTCCTTCCCACCCCCCTTCCCCCATTTCCCTTTCTCTCAAGCAAAGTGAAATTTTTCCTCCCGGAGAGAAAAAAGAATCATACGATAAAGCAGCAGGAGGAGAAGAATCACAATCTAATCTACAGATATTAGATCCGCATCAGTAGCCTACCTAGCTAGTTTAGCTCTGCAGTTAGTTGTGCTTTATTTCCCCCGTTCTTCTCAAGCTACTATTTTTCTTCTCCCCATTTCTCAATCGATAACCATCATCAGAACCCACATTTTGTCTATCGCACTCTCTTCAGCTCCTAGAGGGAGTTAGGAAATTAGGCTCTGTTTCCGCTGTGGGATTAAAATAGCTCACAAGGTAAAGCTCAGCCCGTAAAGGGGGTTTGTAAATTTGCTATTTTGTTTGTGGTTTTTGTTGATGAGAGCGAGATTGGTGATGGGTAAGAAGGGAACTGTTTGTTTGTCTTGTGGTGTCATTGATGGCGGATTTGGGATCTGTACAGGGGCAGGGGTCTGAGGCTAAGGCTAGTGTCGGTCGGCAGGCATTGCCCATTTTCTTTCTTCCCCTGTTTTTATGCACTGTATATTTAATCCTTTTGGTAACGGTTTTCCAGTGAATTCTCATTTATGATTCTTAGAGACCTCATTTATGGCTTTAATAAGTGGCTCTCTCATCAGTGTCATGGATTCCTTGTTGAGCTGTCCACTCTTCCCCTTTTAAATCCTTTCTCTAAAACTATGACTTGGGTTCTTTTAATATATATCTCCTGTTCTGGAATTTTGCTGGTTTAGATCTCTCGGCTTTTCCACCAAAAAAAGAAGTCTGTTTACAGTCTGTTGAAATTTCCTGAAGAGGGGCGAGCCGGGTGAACATGGGTTCATACTTTATAGCTGTAATGCAATGATTTGTTTGCATTTAGAGTAAAAAAATTGGACAAAGGTGACATCTTTCTTAGTTGAAATTTGATCCTCTTCTTGCTTCACAGTTCTTCTGGAGTTGCTGTGAGCTTGCGATGGAGATGAAGTAAATGTCTCACTATTGCATGTCGTCAAAGATGTCAGGTGAGTTTCTTAAATTCCGCAAACATGCCTAACTTCAGATAAGTAGCCAGTCCATTGTGTTTCTGATGAGGTGATCATTTGCAGAGGAGTTCCTTGTTGATGGTGATGAGTTTAGAGAGAGAAGATCCGATTTTGATAACTCTGAGGATGAGAGGAGGCGATCCAAGATTGGGAATCTCAGGAAAAAAGCCATCAATGCTTCAAACAAGTTCACTCATTCATTGAAGAAGAGAGGGAAGAGGAAGATTGACTACAGGGTTTGTTCAGTCCCCATTGAAGATGTGAGGGATGAAGAGGAAGAGAGAGTTGTGGACGAATTCAGGCGAAAGCTGCTGGAGAGAGAGCTGTTGCCTCCAAAGCATGATGACTATCATACTATGTTAAGGTCAGTTAGTGAGTCTTCAGAAAAATGTGCTTGCTTCTTGGAATATACTATGCAAATTCGGAAGGCTGGGTGTTGACTTTATGTGCTATGTCTTGTTAGATTCTTGAAAGCTAGAGACTTCAACATTGAAAAGACGATCCAGATGTGGGAAGAAATGCTTGACTGGAGAAGAGAGTATGGAACTGATTCCATATTGGAGGTAAGAAGAAATTAATAATGGTAAGATCATTATGTTGGAATATAGATGGAAGAGGTATTTGAATAGTTTATTCATGATTAGGATTTTGAGTTTGAAGAGTTGGAAGAAGTGGTACAGTATTACCCTCAGGGGTACCACGGAGTGGATAAGGAAGGTCGTCCTGTTTACATAGAGAGGCTTGGGAAAGCTCATCCAAGTAAACTGATGCGTATCACCTCGATAGATCGTTATTTGAAGTACCATGTCCAGGAGTTCGAGAGGGCTTTGTGTGAGAAGTTCCCTGCTTGTTCGATTGCTGCAAAGAGAAAGATATGGTCAAGTACCACAATATTGGATGTCCAAGGATTGGTATGCCTTTCCAGCCCTTTGATTATGAAGATATTTTGCAATCTTGGTTGTAATACACATATGATTTTTCATATCCTCTCTGGATGCTTGCTAGTTTAGTTTGACTCACATTTATTCAGTATGTATGTATTCATGAAATATTGATTTATGTTTTAATTCACAGGGCATGAAGAATTTTTCTAGGACTGCTGCAAGTCTTTTGGCAGCTATGGCAAGGATAGATAATAGTTACTATCCAGAGGTATTGGAATCACCGAGGGTCTTCTTGTTTCACATATTAATCTAGTTCTTACAGTTCTGGCACCATTTTGCAGACCCTGCACCGGATGTACATAGTTAATGCTGGTCCGGGGTTTAAAAAGATGCTTTGGCCTGCTGCACAAAAGTTTCTAGATGCAAAGACTATTGCGAAGATACAGGTAACAAACATGCAGTAGATTGTACCTTATGATGTCCTTTTCCGTGAATGTCATGAAGTTAATCCACTAATTCATACACCATTTGCAGGTTCTGGACCCCAGATCTTTGCACAAGCTATTAGAAGTCATTGATTCCAGGTATGTATGTTTTTTTGACTTTTTGTCAATTCCAACTTTTGTATTTCTATAACCCTGACATGTATACTCTCTTTTTGATACACAGTCAATTGCCAGACTTCTTGGGTGGCTCTTGTACTTGCGCAGAAGGAGGTTGCCTCAGATCCAACAAAGGCCCATGGAATGATCCTGAAGTGATGAAGGTTTGACTGCCACAGCCTTCTCCTCTTGTTTTATTTTTGGTTAAATTGGCTCCATCTCTGTGTTTATGTACATATCAGTACAAATTTAATCCAAACTCGTATTGTCTTCAGCATGTAAATAATGAAGCAGCAACATATTTGAGGCAACTGACCCGAGTCTCGACCGATCGGAAGAACTCATACATGACTCACCCTGAGAAGGTTGACCCAGGGCTGGATTATATTGATCTTTCCCCTACTGAAATCAACACATGGACGACGATTCCAAGTTTGGCCTCAGTTCGTGGTGAAGTAAGAGTATCTGATGCAAATGGATACTACAGCTGTGATGACAACCCCGTTCTGGATGAAGAGGGACTATGCAAAGAACGTCTGCTTAAGGTCCACAACATGAAGATCCTTTCTTCTGAGGCAACACACTGTTTTCAAGGTACTTACCTTTTTCTCAATGGAATATGCATTGTAGTTAGTGGCAAAACAAAGACACAATATTGAGCTCTGCTGAGAATCTCACATTGTTGTCGCTTGTGGTTCATGAATTAAAGTAAACTCTTCCTTCTCCTTGAACACTAGACAATCCAACAAATTATTGTCAACTTTAAGGTTAATTACGATCTCTAGATTATGCTGTCTGTGATGTTAGTGACACTGAACGTCTGTTAAAAATTCACAAAGAATTAAAATTGAGTGAACGATGACACTGACCTGTTCATGATTGTAGCGAAGTCGGTGAACTGTAGCTGTAAGCTGTAGTTACATCATTTGTGAAACTAAGGTACTTCTGTTTTTTAGCAGGGGCAGTTTGTTGGCTCAACATTGCAGGAGAGAAGCTTGGGAAAGGGAAACTCATGCATGCAACAAGAGCATTAGTATTCTTGCTAGCCAAGATAATTGCAATTTTCCGCCGCCTACCATTCGAGTATTGGAGAAAGCACAACAACATTCACCCATCAACTCCTGTGGAAATAGGATGTACTAGTAGTACCCCTAATGATGGTGATCTAAAGGTTGTTGAACCTGAGCTGCCAAAGAAAGAGGACTATGTTAGCCCGTGCATGGAGCGCCTGCAGAGACTAGAGAAGCTAGTTGTGGAACTGAGCAACAAGCCACCTCAGATTCCAAAAGAAAAAGAACAAGTCCTGGTTCAATCTCTGGACAGAATCAAATCCGTGGAGCTTGACCTCCACAAAACAAAGAAGGTACAGTTACACCCTCTATCGGTCATTCTTTGTTGTGGAATCTTTGCCGTATCCAGGAGTTTAAGAACTTGTTGATTTTCTTGTCTTGCAGGTTCTGCATTCTGCAGTGGTGAGGCAGGTGGAGATTGCACGGTTGGTCGACAGTTTGAGGGAGTCTAAATACCGTGTAAGTCCAGGGATAAAGGGAACTTCTTCATTTCTTTGCTTGAGTTTGTTTGTTTGAATAGAAAAAGTTACAAGCTTGATCTGGAGCACTGACATTGACAATTGGATCTTCTCCTTTCCAGAGAAGAAGCTTCTTCTGTTAGAGTCAACAGAAATCACTTATTACAGGAGGCGCCATGGGCTGGCAGCAGCAGCAGCAGCAGCTGGCAAGATGAATGGAGAGAGATTGGTTGTTACTGATACAAAAAGGATCTATGGGGAAGAGGCAAGAAACAAAACTTAAAGTAACAGTAGTTTTGTGAGAAGCATTGCACAGGGAAGGAAACAGATCTGCCACATCTATTTCCGAGAGAACTTTTAGGCACACACTGGTTTACTGCTTTTCCTTCTGTTTCTCCTCCCCCTTTTTTGACTAACCAGGGGAGGTAGAACTTAGAAGTTTAGGCAGGCGGGTTCCATATTAGCAAATAATATGTAAAGAAGAACTGGTGGGGGAGAGTGGTGAGAAGAGAAAGAACACATGGTGAAATGGTGATATAAGAACAAAAGGAATGAAGAAAGTAGTTGAGATACCATGAGATGCTTCTTTCCATAGCTAGAGACTCTACCGAGTTAACCAAAATCATTGATGTATAATTCGATGTGATTTCATTGCTAAATTTAAAGACTTCACTCAATTGGTTCTCTTAAGCACAACAAAAGACAGTCAGAATCACAATAGATCAAACTGTATCGAATGCATGCAAGTCTAACCTTTCTCTTCTTATGTGTTAAATGTGCTGTTGTCCAATTCTGGACTCGTCCAACCATGCATGAGCATGTCACAAGTTGGATGAATTGAAGTATCATTCAATCCGATTTCAGTTCTAAAGTTAGGGGAAGGCAATGATGGAAACACAACACAATCAGATTAGACCAAATCGAGTTGAATGCGTTTTTTGTCCAATCCTGCTCTCCATCTTCCCCTACTTACGTGCATCTTATAAACCATGCTCATTTTACTGATCATGTTAGAGAAAGCAGCTTCAACCTCAGTAGTCAGTACCAGACAGCCATTATTGATCTTGTTCTGTTGCAGCCTCCAGACACAAAATAATCCTTGTTCATAAAAACAGTAGCCAAGCAATTCCAGGCATGTCCATATTGAAGCCAAAATTATCATTTGAATACAAGTAGAACACAATTAAACTCCTTGGCAGAAATATACAAAGAACTGTTGCATAAAAAGATATGTTTATATCTTTAGATCTTTCCTCTAGCAGTCTCCAAAACCTAGAAATACACTAGTAATCAATAATATCATCATCGTCATTATCATCATTGTCGTTGTCATTATCATTATCATTTGCAGCCTGAACGTAGGCTCGATAGATGCGTCGATACTTGTCTGGGTTGTCGTACCAAGTCGTGGTGTTGATGATCTCTCTTTCTAACCAAAACTTGTCCACCTGCCTCTTCTCTGCCAGCTTCTGGCGGTAACTTTCCCACTGCTCCAACACTTTTGCCAGACGAACACTCTTGTTCCCGGTGAAGACATACTTTAGGTAGTCCTTCAGTATCCGAGTCATGTCCTCGCCATTGATGATATAAATGTACTGCAGTATAAAAGTCATTGATTGATATATTTCTATCGGACGCACTACTTAAGAATTTTAATAATGGGAAAGATGGAATATTTTGTCTAACCAGAAGTACGAACCCCACAGTGGCTAAAACCACTTGGAGAGTTTCGTCCAAGACCCCAGGAAGGTCATCATCCTGGGATCCACCTGAAGCACCACCGCCACCGCCACCACCACCACCTCGTGGTGGACTGCCACCACCACTGCCGCCTCCGTCGTAGAACTCTTGTTTTTGCATCTGTTCCTTCAGCACATCTTCTATTGATTTCCCCTGGAAACTTCCGACAGCATTTCCAAGAGACTTCAAAGGAGATCCCTGGTGTCAATTGAGAAATTTGTCACAGAATTCGTCGTCAGTGTGTACTGGTGAATGAATAGAAGATTAAAAGGCCATGTGTCTCAATTCATACAAGATCCCTCCACTCGATGGAGAACAAAATGTTGAAATCGCAGAGATAATGGTTAAAGGATAAGCACATGAAGACTTATACAGTACATATAAGCAATAGAGCCATGATCAGGACCCGCCAACTACAATCAAGTCGCAATGATTTTTCCTCAAGAAATCCAGAACAAGGACAAGTACTTGCTATCGCCCACCTCTCACCAACCAAAAAGCTAACTGTTAATAAGAGAATTTTCCGTATGACATTGGAGACGATTAACATCGTATGATGAGAATATAAATCAAAATTACACATCTAATAAGACAATTCTTCCATTCCAATAAGAGTTATACATCTACTCAGCAATACCTCATTTTCTCCTTCAGGCTTGTCCTTGCCACCAAGTAAGCAAACAAGGGACTTTCGTGGGTATGTCGCTGTGAGGTTGTGATGTCTAAGCTTAGGGACAAGCGCAAAAGAAAGGTACGTCGAAGTTTTAGCAGCAGGTCTCAAGACCTTCAATGGCGTTAGAGTTCTCCATGAACTTTCCAGCCGGGGCAACTGAAGCTGGGTATTATTAGGTAGGCAAGGATTTGCTTGAATGCAGAACAACATTATCCTTCAACTTATGCAGCACTAAGAATATTTATACATAAACCTGCAGGAACCAAAACTATAGGGGCTCAGCTATTCATTGATCTGCAAAAACCTCATCTTTCAAACAGTAACTAAGCAACTTCCATATATGATCATCACATTCAGCAAAAATGTTGGCCAGTAAGGCGAGATTCAATCAACACTTCAAGATACGCGAGGCATTGAGCTAACAAACATCAATTCAGGGGAAACCCAATGCAAAATTTCAGTAACCAAAGTTCTTGCAATTCCCAAAAGGTGAAAACTTGGAACTCAAAAAGGGGCAAGTCCGCAAGGAACAATGAACAATCAAACTGAGAACCCCAAATGTGAAACAGCAGTCTCTCCAGACGTTCTGTTACGTCAACCAAAATCAAACAATTAAATCCATAAGAAAGCATTCATCATCGGAACCAAACCAATTGGTCATTCGAACGCCAAAACCAGCTCAAAGCAGGTGACTTTATTCTTGCAAGAAAGAAGAATCATATTAGCAAGATGGAGTGATACTCACAGAGCAACAAAGGGGTTCAAGAACAGCTCGTTACTGGTTCAGTAATCTCGTTAGCCCACAAACTAGGACATTGCCCTTTTCGAACCGGAAAGCAAACTGGTTTCGCCCACCGTTCAGTTGATGAAGGAAGCCGCAACCGCCCGGCGGTCGAGGAAGAAGCAGTTGGGATTTGAGAAAATGGGGAGTTTTTCGGGAATGGAAGTTGATTTCGGGAAGGGAAGCCGGCGAAGCTGGATAACTTAGTGGGTGAAATGCCAAAAAGGTCACTAAATTATGGGGTTTGTGGCAAAATGGTATATGAACAAAAAATTTGTCAGTTCTAAGTTAATTGGTTAAATCATCTGCAATGAACCCTTCACCACCTGGGTGAGATAGAACTGACAAAGTTCATGCTTCGTTGTGACGGTCCTTAATAACAAAATAAGAGTCAGAAACAGACAAACACTATTTGAAATTCAGTCTTACATTCAATTCTCAAATTTTATCGAGATCATAAACTTGTCATCACATTTATTTATCATATGTTTGCAAATCTTCTCTCATATCTATACAGCTCATGTTAGCCATCTATAAATGGCAAAGTCTTGTAATGTTATTTTAAGCAATGAGAAGAAATACACTTTCATTGTATCCTTTCAGTTAGATGTTACGTTTGTTTGGAAATGAGCTTTTCAAGAAGGATACTGTAGAGGAACAAAACCAATCCATCCCAAACTTGGTGGTTAAAATCTATTGCGGTGAAAATATTGTAGGGGAGGCCCTGCGAAAAAATAGCTCCATGCCATGATGATAAAAAGCTTAACACCCCTCATTCTTATTAGTTTTTCAATATGAAAAAAAAGAACATGCAAAACCCCTCTCTCTGGACGTGACTGATCAGTAGAGACTGCAAACAGATCTCTCAATCTTAGCCACCTCACTATCGACACCAAACCTACTCAAAACCCAATTCACTTCACCATTCCAAGACGACCCTAGGTTAGAGACTTACAATTGGCTTAGTAAGTATCGTTGAACTTAGAGAATTATTATGTTTAACTGCATATTCTTGATTTGGTTTCCATTTAAATGCATATTCATGATCTAGTTAGACTGTTAGCTCTTTAGTATACAGTTCAATTATTCAAAATAAAAGTTCTTACATGATGAAGATTCAGTAAAAGGTTCGTTAAGATATTAACTTGGTTTGATACTAGTGAATAAAAAAAGTTAAAAGAAAACTAAAATTTAAGGGGAAAAAAAAGATTAACCAAATAAATAAGAGAGTAGCTTTCCAGTCAATCCTAACATGCTTGAGGAATATTATTGAAGCAACTCAAAGTCTTGGGATCGAATTGCCTAAAATATCATTTCAGGGACCTCCTTGTAATTGTCAATAAAAAACAACAAAACAAAGAAGACAACGGCAGAAATGTATGCGCAAGGAATAATAATGGAGGAAATGAATTTGCGCGTATTTGCTGGAACCTGCTGCTTCCCCACTTTCCTCCCATGTCTTCAGACACCTGTGTTGTTATCCACCTCTTTGTTCTTTTCTGAAAGTTCTTTCATTTCTTCCTTCAATTCGTCAAATTTATCCACTAGCAGCTGCTTCCTTTCCTTTCCTTGCCGGCTGTTTCCGGCTTTTTGGTAGCTTCTCTCTGTAGTAGATCTCCAATTCCAATGCGTTGAGCTTCTCGCTGAGATTTGGTTGCTCTGGAACTCCATTTCTGATCCAGAAGCTGAAAACCCAGAAGTAAAAACAAAGAAATAGAAATCTAGGAAGATCAAAGGGGAGATCTTTCGTCCATCCAAAGATGAGGGGGTGGAATTTGCGTTCTGGGTCTTGTTGCTTCTTCTTGGTTTGCTTTTTCAGCTTGATTGGTCTCTTTGTTCCTTCGTCCTCTGCTTCCACTTTCCTTTCAGGTAGCTTTTGTAATGAAAAAAATGAATTGCTTCTGCTGATACTCTTTACTCTCAAGTTTTGATTGAATTATTGATTTGCTTTTTGTTGGCTCTTTTTTGGGTCCAGGTTCTGTCTTTGAATCGCATTCTGCTGCTGGGAGGAATCTGCTTCAAGCTAGAAAAGGTGTGTAGCTGTTTTTTTATCAGCTGTATTGGAATTAACCCGGCTTGCTTGTGAATTGGATGGTTCGTTTGACTTGGCGAATTCGTTAGTTGTGTCCACGTAGGGGATTATGTTCTTCTGGTGTGCACGTTAGTAGGAGTTGCTATTGTTGTGCTGCAGAATTAGAAGTCAAAAGCTGGTCTCAGTCTCAATTACACTTGAAAGTTGCAATCTTTATATGATTCATAGGTGGATGAACCAAGTTTCATTCCTGAATTGTGTCCATGGGGCTCGGATAATTGAAATACAGCTTGTGAAATGATTTCTCCTTTGGTCTGAAGGTTTGTGCTTGAAACCAACAGCTTGTGAAATGTTTTCTCCTTTGGTTTGAAGGTTTGTGCTAGAAACCAACTTTTCTTGGTCTAACAATATGAAGGATCTAAGTCCTGAATATGGATTATATACAAGCATCTAAATTTAAGCTTTCCTTCTTTCAGTTGAAGCATCCAATTCAGTCCCTTGATATTTAAGTAAATTGGATAGCTAATTCGTGTTCCTAAATTCTAAGTGTTAACTTTTAGTGCAGTTGGTTGGACATATTACACATTATTTAAGTTTTGAGATATGATGAGAACACAACTCTTTCTTGTTTTCCTTCGGGATATCTGACAAAGGCAACTTTCCATTTCGTTTACTCTCAAGTTTGGATTCATCGAACTTCTGATGAACTGGGTTTTGAATTCGTACAAGTCATTAAGGAATGAAGCGTATGCAATGCACGCGATATAAGCTGACCATTTCCATCTTTGAATTTTATCTGCAGCTTGCCCTGTGAACTTTGAGTTCATGAACTACACGATAATCACGAGCCAATGCAAAGGACCCAGCTACCCTCCCAAGGAATGTTGCTCGGCGTTCAAGGACTTTGCCTGCCCTTACAGCGATGTCATTAATGATCTGACCAACGACTGTGCATCAACCATGTTCAGCTACATCAACCTCTACGGCAAGTATCCGCCTGGTCTTTTTGCAAGCGAGTGCAGGGAAGATAAACAAGGACTATCTTGCCCTGCACTTTCGCCCTCCCAATCTGCCAACGACAGTGGAAGTCATGATTTACGAGCCCGATCAGCACTGCTGATACTCTCAACTGCATTGCTAGTCATTTTGCTTCAGTTACTTTGATGGTTTGAGCTCATCATCTTGTCCACAATTTGTTTCTGTCCTCCCTCTCGGCTTAGCCTGGTTTACCGTCATGTACCAGTTTCATGTAGGCATAATGAGAAAGAAAGGTTCGAAAATTCGCTTCTGAATTGGGTTTTGTTCACAGTTATGATTCCCTGTGGCTGAGGATTATGTTGATTCAATATATTTGTATATGTATGATGCATTTGAACTAATGTAACACTTATGGTTCTTGAAAGCTTGTTTTTCTTGTCATATATTTTGAGCTAATCAAAACTAACTTAACCGAAACAAACATAGTATTTCGCACAAGTAAAACTAGCCCCCACTTTGCCAACATAATAATACTCAAATTTGTACTTATTTCCTCAATTCCTCGTGTGGTCCCTAATAGCAGTTTATTTTTCCCTATCAAAGACAGAGAACCTATGCAAATGATAAGTTTCCTCTGTGTGGCTGCAAATGCTTCACTGCTTCACGACCCATCAATCCAAAAGGGGAACCTTCCAATAAAGTTCCCAACTTTAGCCTAAAACCAGCTAATGGCTATTCCTTCGGTCTCGCTACAACCTCCTTCAGACCTTCTCTTGCTGCAATTGTGCAACAACATCCATGAAGTGAGACAATTACACGCCAAGTTCCTAGTTTCGGGGTTAATCAATCACCATCCAGTTGTTCCCAGGAGGCTCATCCAAGCCTATGTAGCAACATCCCACGTCGAACCAGCCATATCCATCTTCAAAACATCGATACATTCTCCCGACGCGTTTCTGTACAACACCATCATCAGAGGCCTCATTAATGACTCCTCTCCCGACCGTGCTATCTTGTTCTACAAGAAACTCTTGCTTGAGGGTACAGTAATCCCAGATAACTTCACGCACACATTCGTTCTCAAAGCATGCTCGCATCTACAAGAGGATGAGGCTGTTTCCGTTGGCAGGCAAGTGCACTGCTGGATGATCAAGGTTGGAGGGGAACTTGGTAGTTATGTTCATAGCTCACTCACTCATTTGTATGCTTCTTTGGGTTTCATGGATGAGGCAGAGCGCGTTCTTCGTGAGTCCTTCGAGGAGAATGTGGATGCTGTCAACGCGATTATATCAGGGTATTGTAGGTGTGGACGAGTGGATGAGGGTAGAGCTAAGTTCGAGGGGATGACAGACAGGAACGTTGCATCGTGGAGTGCTATGATCACAGGCTACACACGGAATGAGATGGATTTAGAGGCATTGTCTCTTTTCCAGGATATGTCTATGAGTGATCCGGAACTTATCCCAAACGAGTCGATGGTGGTGAGCTTACTAACAGCTTGTGGACGCTTAGGAGCTTTACCACAGGGGAGATGGATTCACAAGTACATCGAAAGGGCCGGGATGAAGATTTCTACCAATCTTTCAACAGCTCTCATTGACATGTACGCCAAGTGCGGTAACATACAGTGTAGCTATGAAATATTCCAAAATATAGCGTCGAGGGACAGAGATATTGTCTTATGGGGAGCCATAATCTCGGGGTTGGCCAAGCACGGCCAAGCAGCAAAGTGTCTGGAGTTGTTCGATGAGATGGTTGGTCATGGTATCAAACCCAATGGAGTTATCTTCACAGCTGTACTTTCTGCCTGCAATCACTCGGGGCTCATCGGGAAAGGGCAGGAGTGTTTCGATCAGATGGTGAAAGTATTCAGGATAGTTCCATCCATTGAGCACTATGGATGCATGGTGGATATGTTGGCTCGAGCAGGGAGGCTAGCAGAGGCAGAGGAGCTCATTGCATCTATGCCCGAGAAGGCAAACTCAGTGATCTGGGGAGCGTTCCTCAGCAGTTGCAGGAAGCACAACGATGTACGAAGAGGCAGCTGGGCCTTTCAACAGCTTATGGAGGTCGAGCCACTGTCAGGGGATAGGTGGAAACTAGGACAGTTGATGTTAGGGAATGCAGGCAGGAAAATGGAAGCAACTAAGATCAGGAGGTTTATGCATGAAACTGAAATAGAGACAACAGTAGGGTGCAGTTTCATTGAAGTTGATGGTGTTGTCCATGAATTTGTAGCAGGGGACATTATGCATAAAAAAGCTGAAGAGATCTATAGAATGTGCAGAAGCATCCATAGAACTATGAGAAAATCATTCATGAACATGACAAGTTGAGATTACAACATAGATGAGAGAATGTTACGAGGTGCAAATTCAAGATTCAGAGAACGGTTCTATAGCTTAACGCACAATCATCTAGCCAGGGCCATGTAAGAAAACCCAGCATGTTTATGGTTCTACTCTTTTTCACTAACATCAAAGTACAAGCAAAATCATAGGATTGGATTCATTCAACATGAATCTGTTCAAAGTTCCTACAAAATCACAGTACAGGGCGATACACCATCGTAATTAATAGTCATCACCTCTTGATATCACCTCTTTGCAGGTTGGCCGAAGCAAGATTGTATGCTCAAACTGGGACACATAGCTGCCCTTAACATCGCAAAGAGGAGGGTACGGCTGCCATAAAAGAGCAAATTGTTAACTGCCACAACTTCAATAGTTCAGACATTAACAACTTCAACAGTTCGAATCATAGTTCTTTGTAGCTATGTAGAACTAACGAAAGGACCACAAATATATGATCTGTTGGAAGAGACTATTTGCATTATATAAAAAAGTTAACTTTAATCAGAAGGACTCCAGATCAAAAGATATTAATTACCATTTGATCATACACCAAGGTGATGAAAAGGTTAAGCAAATATCGATTGATGATTAAGAATATGATAACAAAATATTTTTTAAGTGATCCGGACGATTCTAAACTTCTTCGCATGCTAAAAAAGTACCTGCACAATGCCGGAATCGCATAAATTCTTCAGAGCCATCAAGTACTTGGTTTCTCCAATCCGGTCCAAGTACCGCCTGCAGAAGGCTAATGTTGAGAAGTTTTTATCTATTGTTGCTAGCAGCTGCTTTGCTCTTGCCATCCTCAATGGCACATGGCCAATATCGAAATTCTTCATGTAATGACTGCACTCCAGATCTTCTCTAACATATCCTTTCCCTATACAAACAAAAAGTGGTTTAAGTCATTTGCATCATCTCAGTGACTAATGCTTTCAATTCCAATGTAGAAGAGGTTGCTAATACCTGTTGAGCCGAATGTTTCAATTGCATAAAATTCACCCTCTTCCATTTTAGTCTGCTCCCCTCCTTTTACAATAGGAACCGACTTTCCAGCATGAATTTGATATGGCCCAATGCTGTGTCCATTCAAGTTTCTGATACTTTTAACTGCAAATTACATTTTAAATCCATGTAAAAAGATATCCGCGCGTAATGAGTTTCTGAAATACACAGGAGTTTTGATAAGCCTCGTCAAAGCTCCAAAACTTTTAACTAGAAAAATACACACCAGAAAAGCACAAGTGAAAAGGACCGAGTTGCTACATTTGGTGGAGCATAGTAAAAGACAAAGCTTTGTGATTCAAGGGATAACCATCACAATTTCGAAGGGTCATATCTTGTCCATGATAACAGACGTTTATAAGCAGTAGCCATCTAGAGCACCTAAAGGGAAATTGAGACAAGCACAAGGCCACTTGTTGTATGATGCCAAACTGCAACTATCTAAAAATTAAATAACCATGATTTCATCTTGACGCTAAATTTAGGGACTATCCCATATCAGTTAGAAGTCAGCTGGATCGGCACCTTACAAAACCAAAAAGGAAGTGCAGCAAGGAAAAAACAAGTGGAATCTCTAACCACAAGTTCAAACAGTAGCCCAAAAGCAACAAACAGCTGATAAATAAGTGACCAAACACAACAACAATGAATCTTAATATAACATACCTTGAAACACCTTTCCATTTATCTCAACCTCATAAGATTCCATGACCTCTTGGATTGCAGCACCAACATCACAAAGACGAACATCGATCCCAGCTTCCTGAACAACTAAGAAAAAAAAATTAGTAAGCTGCTTCCTTTAATGATATTATATCAGCAACTGAAGGAAGGCTCATCTAAGAGACGCCCATCACCTTAATACCCGTGTTGGTAGCCTCACGTGAAGCTTCAAGTAGCGGGTTAAACATGGGATTGAATGCCACGGTAAATGCACAGTCCACAATATGTCCTAAAATTCAGCCAAACACCACTTCAGATATACTTCCAGCCAAAAATAGTGATGCCAATTTCAGAATCAACTAGAACAATGAATGTAATGGGAAAGCTTTCAAACATAAAAACATCCAGCTCTAGATTCAAGCCTTGAATCCATCATGGCCTTCCGAAAGGGGGGAAAAAAACTTCAAGAGATTTACCATCAATATGGGTCCCAAAGTCCAGCTTCATCACATCATCATACTGAAGCACTGTCTTGTCACCAGAGTTGGGAGTCCAATGAGCAGCGACCCTTTCGATAGATGGAAGAAAGTAAAATCAGCTTCCAATGAATACATGACCAAATTGAAAAAGAAAAAATATAATAACACAATAGCTTATATTAACCAGTTCAACGAGCATCCCGTAGGGAATGCAATTCCAGCTTGAAGACCATTTTCTGATATTAGCTTGCGAACCGTGTTTTCCAATGTCTCACAGAGGTCGGTCATTAACATACCAGGCTTCAAAATGCTTCTGATGTGTTTGCGCACCTAATGAAAAGTAAGAAGAATTTAAACAGACAAGAATGTCAAAGAATGGGGGTAGTTGCATATAGAAAACAAAGAAAAACCTGTCGGTGAACTTCTGCAGCTTGTCGAACTGAATTATATAAAGGCTTTTCAAGCCGCTCCAATTCCCTCTTCTCCTCAGAAGTTGTACGCCATAAGTTACTGAAATATAACATTTGAGAGTTCAGAAAGATGACAAGAAAGCATAGGGCTTATTGTTTCATGCAATATTTGAACAACCACTTGCAATTGCAGAGGCACAAGAAAGCAAGAACAGAAGAGCAATAACAGATGCAATCTTATTTGCATCATCAATATCAAGAAGCAGCATATACTCACTCATCTTTGTATTGTTGAATTTCTCCCTCTGGAAATTCTCCAGATGGGAAGAGCTCAGCAACAGGAATAGAGGGTGGATCAGTCTGCTGAGCAGGTTCCTTCTTCTTCCTGTCAATAATGAATCAGAAATAATTGCCATCCATGGAGTCGTCCAAATGCACGGAAAGGTTAACGTAGTCATAGAATTTCCGGCGTGATATATATAACAAAGAGCATACTGGACTGAAAGACTATCCATATGACCATGTTATCAAAGAATGAGTTACTCACTTGCTTTTATTTTTCTTCTTTTTCTTCTTTGCAGCTTCTGGAAGAAAGAGTTGCATAATGCAAATGAGTAATGCTACAGAAGAAAAAAAATCAAGAAAACAGCAGCATCCTAACAGAGATATGCCAAAGAGCCTATGAATTTGAGAGTGGTATCCTTCAATGATCACAAACAACATTTAAAACGGAAGAATGCAGAAAGCATCTCAAACCAATGCAAAGCAATGACATGACGAGCCAATTCGAGAAAGAGCCCCGATTGGGCAAAACGCGGGGAACTCCAGAGCAAAAAAATGACGAAGAAAAGACAAGCTCTCGATGAATCAAATAATAAGCAAGGGGGGAATAACCTTTCTTCTCATCACCATCGTTCTGTCCCGCAGATGGCTCATCATCTCCATTGCTAACTGAAGGCTCAAAATTCACATTCTCTTCCTTGGTGCCATTCTCTTCAATAGAGAGTTCTTTAATCATGTGTTCATCCGCCATTCTTACTTACCTATTGTACACAAAAAAGGAACTTTAGAAAACGAGACATGCTTCATCGCATCATCTACAAGCAACAGAATGAAGACTGCACATTCAAGCCTAGAAACCTAGAAAATTTACGACCAATCCTGGACTGAGAAAGGACGATCCAACTTGGAATAAAAATTCAAGCTTCCTTCACCTGTAACCAAAGCTTCTAGCTTTTTCCCAAACCCAATCCCGAATTGATCATTCGGAACGCAAAGCACAAACCTTTTCGCGGGCGCACAATTGCGCGAAAGTCAAACAAAAGCAGTTAAATCCCCCCCACAATTTCTAAAAACAGAGCCTGGCATGTTAACTCGAGGGAGGCAGAATATGCTTTACCTGCTATTCCTTCCTTCTCCTCCTGATACTCTGTAATGAATCGCACGTTTGCTCGGGAACTCTCTGTCCCAATAGCTCACTCGGTCGGACTTTCTTTCTTTGCACCCTAGCTGATTGACGATGACAGACAAGACAGACGCCATTGAAATACTGGCGGATGAGCATACACAAGCCCGGGAAAGCCCGAAACTTTCATGGGCTGATGCAGGGTCTAACTGGCCCATTAACTGGGCTTGCGAGTTGGTGGCCTGTATCTAGGTCTTGGACACAAATTGTTTCCACTTCCATTGTCAACTTCCAAGTTCCAATCACGGAGAAATTAATTCATTGCCTAACGTAAAAGCTATGCCTTAATGCCATATGGACGAGCACGTGCATGTTTTCCCCCTATGAAATGGTAGTGTAATTAATCTGGTTCAACTTTGTATTAGTGTCATTTACGATTTAGGAGTGACAAAGGATGTATAGTGAATGCTTAAACAAATGAGATTAGAAGTGAAAAAGCATATTGTAATGGGTACGATCAAGAAGATAAGTTGTGTACATAGAAGAAACGATTGAGTGGAATCAAATGAAATTGTGTTTTCCGTTTGTCATGAGATGTCATTTTCTTCGTGCTTCTCGTATGTTGTGACAATGGAGCATGGGACGTACATTAGTTTATGCAAAGCATCAAATTAAGGACGGGATCGAGATGATCATTTTATTTAACGAGCTGCCCTACTATCAAGACAGAACCGACCGAGTACAGTGCATGCATGCAGGTTAACCCTTTGCATTAGCTAGCTAGGATTAAACCATTAATCATAATTATTATTGCTTTGTTCTTTGTATTATTATTATTATTTTTTTATTTCCTCGTAGCAGCTGGCTAGCTGGAGCTAGAAAATGATCCAGTTGTACTTGGAGCCGCCGCAGGATCTCCAGGAAGTAGTCCAACACGCGACAGGCAGCCCAAGCTGATCCAGACAGAACCGAATCTCGACAAGGTAATAGTCTCCGTACCGATCTCGAGAGCACACGATCTTGGGATTCAAACCGCCTGCAGCGTTCTGGATTCGCTCCCCGCGATATTTAAAGCCCGGAACGACGCCGTGCGCGGCAAGCATGTTCTTCACGTCCAGCAAGTCGAACATATACATGGTGGCATTGAAATAGGCGTTCTCGTGTGACCACACAGCAGACCCGTGCTCGTTCCATTCATGGGCCTAGAATTCGTAATTGGGGTGGGCCTGTTCTTTGTTCAACAGCTGGGGCCACACCCGCACAAGATCGCGAACCAAGGCCCGATCCAGTCCTCGCTGCATCAATACATAGGCCGGAGGCACAATTAAAATTGAAGAAGAAGAAGATTAATTATTCAGGAGGAGTGGTCATTAAATTAAATTAATTATGTACGTACGTATGTTACGTACGATGAGGTGGTTTCCTGGGTGGGGGGTTGGCGCCGCTGTTGAGCATGGGCCAAAGCCCATGGATTGTGAAGTTGTTTTGAGGGTAGGGAATGTAACAAGGCGGCGACCAGCTGCTGCTCATTGTGTGGCCGCACACGCCGGAAGGCCATTGGATGGCCAGCAAGAAGTAATCATGATGAAATGGTCCGCTCCAGCTACTCGAAACAACAACACGGCGGCAGCAGCAGCAGCAGCAGCAAATTAATTAGGTTTAGGATCAACAACAAAAACAACGCAGCAACCGATTTCATCCTCATCAATGAGTATGATGATCTCATCTTCTTCTTGTTGTGTCATCAGCTGCATGCAGTGGCCCATTATTTATTTAATGTACTACACCGCAACAACAAAATCTAGCTAAGCTAGTGGCATGCATCATGCAAAGAACATGGCATGTGTTTGTGTTGTGTATGGATCGGAGTGCACGTTGTAACGCGCTAAAAAGCTTAAAGAACAGACAGACAGCCCTAGTTCACATCACAACCACGGCTTTTGCCGCTTATTCATTAATCCGGGCCGGGGAGGGATAAACAAAATGTCACAAAGCCTACCTAGAGTTAACAGCATATATAAATGCCTCTTTGCCGGTACGTTGAGAGATCCGATTGATTGATTGATGGTTGATATAAGTGTTAGACACGTACGTATTCTAGAGACAGTTTGGTTGTCCTGAAATACATAATCCGTGGATGCATGAGATCTAGATGCATTTTGTTTCAACTTCTTTTTTCCAACAATTACCACTTAAACCCAATTTCTCATAGTCTAAAGGGAGCTGCCACACTCGCCTTGGAAGTGAAAGCAAATAGTAATTCTAAGTCAATTGGTTAAGTACGTCAGTTGGTATTTTTTTTTTGTTCTCTTTGTTTCCATTATAGTATATTTACAATAAATGTCGAATAAGAGAAATCAATATGCGCGCTCACATTAATTTACATGATTCAAAAATTTGATCGCTTTCCTAAATTATAACATGTACTTACTCAAACGCGCTTACCATCATACTTTGTATTTTTCCATTGAAACAAATGCTTACCCATAAAATTTTAGCTTAGGACTAAAGAATTTGGACGATATTTCTCTAATGAACCGTCCAAGTTGAGTAAAGAATTCGATGACTATTTATCAAAACATTTCAAGAATCACATAAATAATATTGACCAGAAAAAAATGTTTGCCCTTTTTTAGTATAGCGCTAATTAATATTTGTTTACCACCAATTCATTCGATCATTATCAGATCTCAAGTTCCCAACAAAACATTTCAACCCCAAGACATCCCACCCTTCATTTTGGAATGATGTGCATGTTGCATGCAAAAACATAGCATGTGTGTGTTGCACGACACGTTGCAACGCTAAGCTTGAGAACATGCATGCATGCATGCAGCAGAGCCTAATTCAACACCACGACATTTGCCGCTTCTTGTGTCACGGATCCGCGAAAAAACATCAACCCCAACCAACAAAAAGCCTCCTTATAGTTAATTAATAACACGTAAGAGTACTTGTGAAACAAACAAGTTAGGCATAGATAAGAAAAAGCAACGAAACCAATGCCCGGAGACGACAGCAGCAGCGGCACTTTCTCCGATCAGCTGACGGAGGACATCCTGACCAACATCCTCCTCCGGCTGCCCAACGGTTCATGCATCGCCAGATTCCGATGCGTCAGCAGATCCTGGCGGAATCTCCTCTCCGATCCCCAATTCATCCTCAGCATCCTCCGCTTCCCAAAACACGGCGGCGGCGGCGGCGACGTCACAAACAGATCATCATCCCCCCTCCAGATCCTAATCACCGGCGACCTCCGCCGCCACCTCTACTCGTTGCACTCCTACGACACCCTCCGCCCCGTTTCAGCGGGAGGAGGGGATCTGCCCAGCCTCCGGCAGCCCGCCGCATTCAGCTTGATCGTGGCGGGGAGCTGCGACGGCATATTCTGCATCGTGGACATGAACCCCACCGGCGGTGCCCCCTCGGTCACCCTGTGGAATCCGGCCACCTCGGAGGTCAAGTCCCTCCCCGATTCCGCCGGCCCACCGCGCCGGTCGCTGTTTGATCATGAGCAGGTCACCGGTTTCGGTTTCGATCCACGAACCAATGACTACAAAGTGGTGAGGGTGATGTTCTTCCATGAGATGTATGATGATTGTAATGATTATGATCTCACTTGGGAGGAGAGAAATACCAGAGTTACGTATGCTGAGGTACGTACCTACTTACGTCTATACGTTCCAATCCAAATATGCATTATTCATGCATGCTAGCTAGATTTTAAACTTGAGGATAAGAATAATAATTTCCTAGGTGGAGAATATAGGCAGAAATATATCTAAATTTGTAATAAATTTAGAAAACAGAGTAGTCAGCAAGGCCTTAGTCTTCTCCCCCTAAGTATCACGATTCAAGTTTGGCTCGCCCTGTTGATATGACTTGAAAGATCGGACTATTTGGCGACCACCGGAGCTCATAATGTATGAGCTTATACACGTTTGGGTTTCTGTTATGGGCCTGGTTTGTAACCTCAATATTTATCATATTGGATTTGGGTTGGACCACATGGAGAGTACTATAAATACTTCTCATACTCTTCAGTGTAATCGATCGGAATCTCTTCAAAGCATAGTGAAACTGACTCTACCATTTCTGCCATGGACTGCCTAACACATATATATTATGTTAGTGAACCATGTAAAACCAGTATGTCTTGTTCCATTTTTTTCTCCATCGATCTCCGATCTGCAGATATTTCTGACTCCGTCACTAACGATAGTTACGTTGTTTTGTTTGGGTCTTCTTCTTCAGGTCTACAGCTTGAGGAATAACTCGTGGAAGAGGCTAAACTTCCACGAGGGTGATCGAATCCGGCAACTCGGCAACTTCGTCAGCAACGTCTACCCACAACAGCGAGGCGACGACGACTCTCGAGACCACAGGCATCGTTGTCACTGGTTCTACGCATGCTTCGAAGACTGCTTCACTCTTTCCTTCGACATGACCGAAGAAGTGCTCGACTACACCTCACTGGCTCTCCCCCGTGCCTTCCATGGCGATTCACTGATAGCCCTGATGGGTTGCTGTATGCTCAAGGATTCAACACTCGTCGCCATGTTTTACGACGGCGACCGCAATCCGTCGATGTGGAGTTTGTTGAAGCACGGAGTTGCCGATTCGTGGACGAGGTTGTACGACTTCAGGCCGCCGGTGTGGCAGATGGATTTCTTGATGGCGTGGAAGGAGGAGGGGTTGTGCATTTGCTCGCGGGAGAGCCGCCGTGGAAGCATGAGTTTGGATCCTGGAGAAGTGGTGGAGGAAACCGATGGCGTCTACGTTTTTTCTCCGGCCACGGGTGAGTATATTGGTGAGCGCATCGAGACTCTAGCCAGAACTCGTCGGTTCCGGGCTCATGTGTTTACTCCAACTCAGGTTTCGCTTTCGGATTTGGTGTAGAAGTGGTGGTAATGGTTTACATTAAGGTTTGGTTAAGATATTATATTCTATAGTTAATAAATTTTAATCTTAATTATTGGATTCGTAATTATCACGATAATCATTTGAACACCCTAACTGGAGACCCTCCAGCTTAAAGCCTCCAAATCATAGGGGTCTTCTGAATATCCATCATGTATAATTCTAATTACTATTATGTAATATTATGTTTTAACTGTAAATTTAGAATAATATAAAATTGAGACATTGGATTTGGGTTTGGGTTTAAAATAGTAACAACTAACAACAACAACAAAAATTATGTCCAAAGGCTAAAGGCATGAATGGACCACATGAGAGGGAGCTTGATTTCTTATTAGACTTTATTCTAAACCATATAACAGAAAGCATTCTTTGTTGTGTGTTTTCTAGAAAGAATAAGCTAGAGAGGTGAGATCGATGGTCCCTCTGTATTAGCTTATTAAACTTTTGCTTCAACTTTGTTCATTCTTAGTTTTCCAAGAGGAAAATAACTTTTCGTCAATTAACATGTGGTACCAAGCAAGGTAGCAATGCTAAAGTAATTAAATCATCATCAATTATTTATTATTAACGTTAACCATAATAAGACGCAAGTCAACAACATTAGAAAATAAAAATGAAGTAAATCAGTTATAAATACTTTGTATCATACTTAAGTTTAGACTAAAATATTATCAACTATTTAACGGACATAAATATTATCAATTTTTTGTGTATATTCGGTGGAAACGAAAGTCAATGTAACTATAGTACAAATAAATAAAGACAAGCGAGAAGCGCGAAGAAACGTGACTTTGTTTGACCTCTCGTCTACTCGAACCACACAAATTAACGTTTATAATATTGAATTATTTTTAGTTTGCAGTTCAATTGTTAAGTATGGTACGAACCATATTTAATTATATATAAACCAATATATTTGCCGTTTATTTATGCATCAAAATTTTATTTATCATATGGTAGTATCTATTATTTTCATAGATCACAAAGCTTTGTAAATCTCATACCAGCATAATATTGACGAATACCTTATTTTTTTTTATTTTTTTTTTTTACAAAAGATAATCATATATTGATCAATAAAAAAGTTAAATCCTGGACACCAGCCAGGCCCGGAAATCAAAAGAAAGACCCATAGCCGGGAACAAAGAGAGGGCTTTACGAGCCACCAAATGGGCTACCCTATTGCTACGCCGACCTACAAATCTAACATTACACCCAGGATTACCGGCAAAAAAATGAATAACCTCCTCGAGCACAGCACCCAAACGACTATCTCGAGGCTCCCTGCGAATGATTTTATCAATGATAACTTGCGCATCCCCTTCAAACATAACGTCCACCAAGCCGATCGAATGACACCACAAAACAGCCTCCCGCAACGTGAGTAATTCCACCACCAAAGGGTCCTCAATCCAAGGAAACTGCACCCCTTTAGCTAACAGAACTTCCCGATCCTGGGTGAGAATAACCATTCCCCCTGCCGAGTGGGATCCCTTTCGAACTGCCCCATCCCACATGCAAATAATTTCCTGCCCCCCAGCCTCCTCATGATGGGTGGGAGCAACTCGTACACCACAGGGGCCTTTCTCCGGAAGCCGAATCCATTCCTCATATTGCTGGTGAAACTGACGCATTAGAGCACAAATCCCAAACTGCTTGCCTTCAAAGACAACCCACTGGGTTGTCATTGACGAATACCTTATCATGAATTAGGAATTCATTATTATGAGCTTAGGCAGGAGAATTAAATGTGAATAGTAACTCATGTTAAGCACCACACCCGTTGTCATTGTAGAAAATCAATGTCAAGTATACGGTCATACATATAAAATTTAAATTTAATAACGAATTAAAATAATAATTACGCCAAAAAGATAGTTTGAAATCGTACCTAACATGAGCTTTAGATTAGAGTGAAAGTCGTAAAAAGAAGATTTCCAGAAACCTACTTTCTCATCCACTTGCATTTCCTCTTCCTTCCCTCTCTTTCTCTTCCCCATTTGTTTGTCTGTGACAATCAAGCCAAACTCAACTGGACAACCGCTGTCTCATGATCACAAGTTCATAACTTTATTCACAGAAGCTCCTCAATTTCCTTGTTTACCAACTTACCCACTTGGGAATCTTTATTTCTGTTTCCTTCTGGAGGGCATGGAGCATGGCGACTAGCAAATAGAGCTCTAGCTCGATGTTCTTAGCATTGGGTTTTGGTTTCTGATTCGATTCTCAGCTGGGCTTCCGTTAATTGAAGTAAAACAGGGAAGAAAGGAGAGATCTTTTCATTTTTCCGTTTGGTTTTGGTTTGGTTTGGTTTCCAGAATGGGAATCTGTTACTCGTCAACGAGGAAAGAGGTAAGAGAAGCTGAGAATGGCGAGGGGGAGGGAGTTGGGAATCGGTGGAGGAAGAAGAGCAGGGAAAAGAAATCCGGCGGCGGGGATCAGGAGAGTGTGCTGAATCACATTCCTGGTAGGATTGCTGGAAATGGTTCAAGTAAAATCGCCTGCTTGCATACCCAGCAAGGGAAGAAAGGGACCAATCAGGACGCCATGGTTGTTTGGGAGGTTAGTTAGCATCATCATCACTCCTTTCAATTTGCAGCTCATTTGTTTCTTTTTATGAAGAATAGCTAATTTGATTGACTAGCTTTGGGTTGGCTTCCATTTCTGGCGGAATGAAAGTGTGGAAATGGCTATTATACATTCCTTTGTGTCTATTGGTTTGGCAAAGGGAGTTTCATATCAGACAAAGCCTGTTAGAGCCTAGAGGGTTGACCTGGCCTATAAGTCCATGACGATCTAAGGAATGTGCTGTTGTCACCATTAGGCATCGATTGTTTAGTTTGGATTGTCCTTTCTCAAATTGGTAACAAGTTAAGCTTCTTCTGACCTAGGAGAACCCATTCTCGTTCGACAACGACATGGTTGAGCGATGGAGCCATTTCTTGAGGTTGTGCCTGTTTCTGGAATATTGATATTGTGAGCTGAACTTGTTAGGAAGCACATTGCATATTCTATTAGATTGCCCAAGAATCTTGTTGAACTCACCCTTACTTTTGAAGAATCTCTACTCTAGTTTAGTCTAAAGTTCTCTGATCATGATCTAGCTATCTTAAGTAACTTTGTTTGCATGTTGGCTTTGGTAAAGTTCCGTACTTGTGACATGTCGTTACTTTCAGTTTTTATTCCTTCTCTTAAGGGCCAAGGGTATCTGATGGCCATGTTGGAATGCTTTGTTGTACAGAACTTTGGTTCCAGAAATGATGCAGTGTTTTGTGGCGTATTTGATGGTCATGGTCCTTACGGCCATATGGTTGCCAGAAAAGTTCGGGATTCACTGCCTCTCTTATTAAGTAATCAGTGGAAAGCTGGTAATGATGAGGAACAGAATGGCCCTCAAAAGTCAGAGAACACTCCTGGGACTACTACTACGAATTCAGAGGAGACTGGTTCAGAATGTGGTGATGATGAATCATATGACTCAATGGAGGTTGAGGAAAGTGACAAAGTCCCCGAGATGTATCTGCCATTGAAAAAGTCGATGTTGAAATCCTTTAAGCTGATGGATAAAGAGCTGAAGCTGCATCCTATGATTGATTGCTTTTGCAGTGGGTCGACTGCTGTGACTCTGATAAAGATGGTAAGTTTCTCGTTATGCCCTTTATTTCTAAATGAAATTCGCTTGAAATTTAGTAAATCGATTTTTTTTTTGGTCGCTTAGCAAAGTGCTCAATTTAGCTGAATGAAGTTGGTAAAGTTATGAAATTCTGTTTACCATGAGTTCTATGGTAACAACTGCCCGATAGTTTATTTTTCATTTAGCCTTGACAGCTTTGTGACCAGACTCACAACAATAAAGGGTTTCTGGTCTCACTGTACATCATAGATGGTTAGTGAAGGAGAAAGCTATGGACTTCACAGGAAAAAGAATATAAACTCCCTACTTCTTTCGGTCCATGGTTTGTAAAGCAATGAACTTGATTCTTCATCTTGAATTTCCAGTGCCACCTGGTTTATGGAAGGATTTTCAATTAAACTTACAAGTTTAAGCTTTGTAACTGCTCTGAGGCTGCCCTCTCCCTTAAAAATTTACTTTAGTTATCTACATGATCTTCTCGTGGGAGATCTTTGCCATTGGTATCAATTATAGAATGGTTGGGAAACGGATTCGGATACCTGTAAGTGCTTTAGCATACTTGCTGACAGCTAAACTTGATGTTTGTTGACTTTTATTATGAATAATCGTGAATTCTACTATGATAAAACCATGTAGGACTGACCTTTTTCACTCCCTCACAGTCTTTCTTAGCCTTGTTCTGTTGTTCACTCGTTGATAATCTTTCTCTAACTATGAATGTAAAATATTTTGGTAGATTCAGGGATTTTCCTTTTAAGTGCTGCAAAGATGTCCTTATTAAACCTGGAAAAAATCATTGGCTTTCAGGGTGAGGATCTCATTATTGGAAATGTTGGTGATTCTAGAGCGGTGCTGGCAACCAGAGATGAAGACAATTACTTACATGCTGTTCAATTGACTGTTGATTTGAAGCCCGATCTGCCAAGTTAGTCTTCTCCATTGCCTCTGCTTAACAGAATGTAGAAGTGATCGTATAGTTTCTACTATATTAACGTGGGCATGAAAATTTTGATTACCTTCCACATTAATCAGGAGAAGCTGCCAGGATCCATCAATGTAAAGGAAGGGTCTTTGCATTGCAGGACGAGCCAGAAGTGGCACGTGTGTGGTTGCCCAATAACGATTCCCCAGGTCTAGCTATGGCTCGAGCTTTCGGTGACTTCTGCCTCAAGGATTTTGGTTTAATATCCGTACCTGATCTTTACTACCGCCGTCTCACTTCAAAGGACGAATTCATCATTCTCGCTAGTGACGGGGTAATCACTCGTCCTGTGTACGATACACATGCCAGCTACCAAATTGCATTGTTCCTTTGCTTATTATCTCTTGACATCCAGGTTTGGGATGTTCTTTCCAATATAGAAGCTGTGGATATCGTTGCTTCAGCACCTGGTCGCTCAACTGCAGCTCGGGCGCTGATAGATTGTGCTGTTCGAGCTTGGAGACTAAAATACCCCACTTCCAAAAACGATGACTGTGCTGTCGTGTGCCTCTTTCTGGATCATCCACATGCAGAAAACGGTACCGAGAACAAAGATGTTATGGCCACAAATGAATCGAATGAGACATTGGCTCAAACAAACACAGTCTCGGCGGACACAGAAATGCTAGACAACAGTTCCTGTGATCACGTTCTCATGCATTCAGGAACCATAAGGCCCTGCGAAGAGATTGTTCCGGTGTTCGAGAATGCAGAGGCGAAAATGACTGCAAAGAGCCAGTCGAAGAGGAGCTTGGCGGAGTGCATCTCGAGCACTGAGGAAGAAGAGTGGTCGGCATTGGAAGGGATCACTAGGGTCAATAGTCTTTTAAGCATTCCTAGGTTCTTAGCTGGAGATAGAAGATCAGCCAGTTGGAGGAAATGGTTATGACATTGCACAGAGAGTTCCGGGTTTCAGTGGAAGCAAATGACTCTTTGTGTTAGTGCTAAGAACTCGGCTCGCTACCACAGCAGTCATTGAAAAAGCTGGAGATTTTGATTCCTTGGATGTGTACATCATCTTGCTACTGATACAGGTGATATTAGCAACCAAGTTAGAAGATGTCTGCCTCACTGAAATCAATTTGGTGACCTTGTGTTGCCATCATTCCTCTTTGTATTCAATTTATTGGGTTTTTGTTTTTCTTGTCAAGTACAGCCATATATCTTTTGATGTGATTGAGAGAGGATGAGTTCTTGGAACCATAAGGTGGAACTGTGAAAAACATTGTGAAACATGTTTAGTTATTGTAACTTGTACAGTATGTTATATTAGTTGTAATTTACAGATAAAGAGAGCTCTTCCTTTTTTCACTGGAGAGAAGCTAGTAAAACGTCTGAACAAGGAAATCCCATGGGATGCACCCCTTCAATGCAAAAAGCTATTACTTCTCTCTCTCTCCAAAGAGGTTGCTCAGCAGTCCTTCAAAAACGAAGAAACAGAGCAAAGGGTCAGAGTAAAGCCCCCTTCTTTCCTTCATTTCCAACGTAAAGAAGACACATTTCCTTATCTTTCTCTTTCTACTTCCTCTTTCTCCCCTGCTTTTCGTTCTTCTTCTTCTGAACAAGGAAAAAGATCTTACATCTCTCTCTCTCTCTCTCTGAAGATTTCACACCTCAGCATTCCCTTAAAAAACAGAGCAATGGATCAGAGTAAGCTGGAAGGAGTGAAGTCCCATGGTTCCCTTCAAATCGAGGTATTAATTCACATTCATTCACTTAGTTCCCGTTCTTTCGTTCATCTGTACATTCACAAAATCGTTCTCTGTATATAATCAACGAACGAGTACAGAAAAAGTTAGATCGCCCAATTACCAGCCTGTTGGCTCATGCAAGGGAGCCTCTGATATTTTATGAGCAACTCTTCGAAGGTCCCGTGAACTTCAATGAGGATTAGCTTTCCTATCACCATAGCTCTCGATTGGCCGAAGCCAAGCAGTAATCGTCCAGATCGGTTGAGTCAAATGCACAAGAACCAGAAACCCGAGACATCCTGCAGCCTCCCCAAGTTCACAGTCTGAAGCTGGAATTCCGGCCACCGAATCCATTCTGGAATCCAAATCGCAATTGGATGCAGGAATTTCGGAGCAGTTCATGAGTGCACTATGTTTTCTGTTGGTTCCCCGTGTTTCTATGCGATCGTTCCCTGCATTTCCGTTCCTTTTCTCGTTTTTCTCTGGCTCTTCCAGGTGCCAATTCAGCGCAGGGTCAATATATCGCACAAAAGTCAATAAATCGCCTAAATATCGCGATATTTTGTCATATCGCGATATCTCGTCAATTTCAATTTCTCGTCAATTTATCGCGTTTCGATTTTGGTTTTGAGGACCCGAAACGTTTCGCGTTTCGCCCGTTTCTGGCATCCGTTTTTCAGCCTTGCGGGGGTTTCCCTCTTTAGCACGCCGTCCGCGTACCTCCCACTCGAAACGCTGCCCGATTTCTGTTTTCTGGGCCTTCAATTAAAAAGGGAGGACTCCTCTTGGGCCTTCGTCTGACTGAAGCCCATCTATTCTCCTAGCGTCTGCCTACCTTCCTATAAATACGGTGTCGCATTTTCCAACATGTGGGCCTTTAATTAAACAAAGAGGAATCGTTTTGGGCCTTTGTCAAAAATGAAGCCCAAGCTTACCAACGGTCACTTCTCCCCCTGTTTCCCCCCCTGGCCATGATCCCTTGGCTTGGAAGCTTGGGCGGGGCTCCAACCGTTTCGGACGCCCGTTTTTTTCACTTCGCGAGCGTTTCCCGTTTCCGCGCGGCCTCCGCCTACATCCCAATCGAAACGCCACCGAATTTCAGTTTTTTGGGCCTTCAATTGAGGAAGCCCAGCCCATGCTTAGCAGCGCCAGATTTGAGAATCTGTCGTCCCTTCTCTTCTCCCCTGTTTCTTTTTCCCCATGAATTCTTGTAGCTAGGAAGCTTCGACGAAGCGGATTGTTTGTTCTTGGAGGGAGAAAGAGATCGAGACCAACCAACCAATCATCCCAACATCCGAAACCTCCCTCCATTAGAAGCTGATGGAACTGTTCTGTCCGTCACGGCCTGGTCGAGTTAAGGGCCGCAGACTCTGTTTCTGACCGGTTATTCTGTAGAACTCAGCAGCACACAACGCAATGCTAAAAAAGACCGACGACGATATCCACAGATGCTGGTGAAGGCATCGGCGTCTGTGTTGGCCGGCTGGAACTCTTACGCCTCGTCCAGAAACACCGACGACGAAACGAAGGCAGCCAAATAAATGAGTTTTTTTCGTAAAACCTATTTTCTCATAAAGTTGGATTATTCTTTATAATATGGAGTAGACGACAAGACATTTGACGATGGGGGGCTATAATTTGTGATGGCATCTCATGGAACCAAAAAATGCAAGACATTCAGAAGCAAATATAATGCAAGCTTGGGAATTCGCTAAAGCAGAGAAGATGGTTGGCAGGCAGGTGAAGAATCTTGGGAAAGGAAAGGAATGAAAGCGATGAATACAATAATTAATGGTGGTGTGGGTGATTAAATGAAGGGGAAATTATGGGCTTTCATCAATTGTCACTGTCAGGAGGAGGAGGGGATGGATTCCTTGGAACAGGGGCATCGATCATCATAATAACTATCTGCAGCTGCTGCTGAGCGAGATAGATTGTGGCCAAAAGATTCTCCCTCTGATTGAACCCATGCACACAATAAAGAGAATAGATAGATAGATATGGGGATTCCTCTCTCTCTCTCTCTGAACTCATGTTAATTAGAATATGAGAGAGAGAGAGAGAGAGAGAGAGAGAGTAACATCGATCAGGCCCTGAAACTGAGCCCATAAAACAACACTGATACCACCACCAACAAAAAGAGAAAAGGCAGCCTTTGCATTGCTTGCACTCCAACCAAAAAGTTCCATGGAGGAAAGAAAGAAAGAAAGAAAGAACATTTCAGTTTGCATGTCTAGCTAGTGTTGTGTCGTGAAGGCAAAACCAAAAATAACAGGCCAGTATATATATGAATAGCCCACACATGGTGGTAGCTAGTGATCATAATTCTCAACTTGATAGTTAATGTATTATCACAAGTTTAGTTATAGTCATTACTCAAATACCCAAGTCCGTGAGATTTTGCTCAAGGCAAAACCAATTATATGCACAAGTGTGGATAATACTCTAATGTCTTTTGTTTGATTCATAAACGGTGGAAATTTAGACGAGAAATTTTACGATTTGGATATTCGAACGGGTTATGAAACAAGATAAATTGATGACAAGACAAAACGAGGGATCTAGTTTAAGTTGTTCGATAACCTGTAGGTGTTTAATTATCTTGTTTATGAACATGAAAAGATTAATCTCTAACTGGTCTTCATCGCGATTATGTTAATCAAAGATATAAAATTAATGTAAAAACATTCAGTTGTTGAGAGGTTGAACTTCTAGCTCGTGTACACGCGAGTTTTAAAACCTTTAACATTGTTATTATTCTTATGTTTGAATTGTTCTTCTAATTATGAATCAATTTCACCTAACAACGCTATAATAATGTGACAACATATATATGGTGATGAGTGTCATAACGAGTGAGAGCTCTTCTGTTTAATTCTCAATGACTCTATTTTCGGACTGGACAAACTTCAAGTCTATATGAGTAGTTTGAATTTTAGGGAGCATGTTAATTTGTAGTATAAAAATTATTATTGAATCAGTTCTAACCATTCAGAGTTATATGACCAACTAACTTATATAACAATGGGTGCATGATGTTTGGGTTTGTCACACCAAACAAGAAGGATATGATTAATGAAGTGACAAAAGATACTAAATTTGTAGTTTGGCTCATCATCCATAATTATTATAAGCTATCAAATCTGTAATTATACCGCTACATTCACCTTTTCAAGGAATTTTCCCCAAAAGAATCCAACATCTATGTGTATATCCACATAGGCACATGCCCTCTCTCCCACACACCCTTTTACAATGTGTCAAACATTGCCTTCAACCTTTTCCATTTTGGATTGTTGTACATTACTACATGAGAGAAAGAAAAGCCAAAATGTTATCACTATCTAGCAGGAGTTCTGTTGTGTGATGTTTGCCATTATTCATGATGAGATATATAAGAGAGAGTAGTTTGTCTATATACCTCATTTTATCTATCGTTTCTTTACCCAAAACTTTCAATTAGTTTCCATATATAGGAAGTTGCTCAAAGGAAGTTATGTAATAGCTAGTGCAAGAAAGGGATGGATGGGAACCATTCATGCCGTTGATGGGGCTCCTCTTGAAGAGCGACCCATGTGCATATGTATAGATACCAATCTTATATGTCGTTTGAGTATCAGCACATCTAATAGTACTCAAACGACGTATGAATCAAATTGTGTTCGTTTCATGTTTGAGACCGCAGTTCACTAAATAATCGAACTCGTGACCAACTATGTAACATAGAAGTATTATTAGTTCTTTAATTTATATGTTGCATGTATGTTTCGTAATTAGCTTATTGTTAATACCTTAGAATCGATACAGAATCGGTATTTCGCCACCTTAGTAGAAGAAGAGACCACAAAATATACAACATTGGACTTGCATACCTTACTAATCGAAGACCACAAAACTTCAGTTTTGTCCCCATAAAGCATGCATCTACTATGTATCCCAGGAAAACGAGTTATATAATTGGGGGATTGTTTTGTGGGGAATCCATGTGGAATCACATAGTTCCACTCGACAAAATGACCAGCAATTCAACCCCATGGATTTCTCGCTCCAAAAGAACCAAAATTCAAACTGATTTGACACATATTAAATGAAGAGGGTACTGTTGGTCACCAAACCCAATTAAGACAACCTGCAAATAATGTCCATTTATGTCACAATTAACAAGAATGAACAATACACAACATTTTTAGAAAGAGAGGAGGATAAACACTTCTAGCTTAATATCACCACAATGTCATCATAATTCGAGATACCATATTTGAATCTTACATGCGAAAAAGTAAAAACGATTATGTGTCGATCTATTGAAAAAAACATCCATCATCATTATCAACGAGATAAGTAGGTAGATGATGGGAAGGAAATATCATGAAACAAATAAGCATTCACTAAGCATTAAATCATCGATATTTTTCGCGGATGCTATTAATTTAGTTCATTTTCAACAACAAAGTATTCATGGCTACTCTGGAAACCGATCGATGATGGTCGGTGTTAGAAACCCGGTTTCTAACTATTTTGGGGGTTTTGACTTATTTGTCTGTTTATTATTGTTTTGAGGATCTTGGGTGTTATTGGTCGGTACTTTTGAATTATTGGTGGGGGTATTATCGGTTATTGGGCGAGTATTGGGTAGTTATAGGAAAATTATCAGACTATTATCTGTGATCGTGGGATTAGTAAGGTAAGCATTTACAGAACAAGAATTCCGTAAACCTAATATCTCTTTTCCTATCTCTCTCTCTGTTCGACCGACCCTATCCCTCTTTCTCCTTGGTGCCGTGGGCCCTCCACCCTAAGGAGTAGGGCTGGGCATGCGGGCGGATCATCCGCGGGTTTGGGCCGACCCACCCGCATTTGACCCGAATTTCGTTAAGTGGGTGGGTCTGTGGGTGGGTGACGGGTTGCGCTGGGAGCCATCCGCCGGGTGGTGGGTGGGTTGTGGGTGAGTGTGCGGGTGACCCGCTCAACCCAACAGCAAAAAAATCAAAGTCGTTGGCGTTAGAGAGAGGAGAGTGGAGACGTTAGATATAAACTCGGACTGCTCCTGGAGTTTGAACCTCAAAGCCAACCTTCCAAATAGAGATCCCCTCTTCTTCCCTTTACTTTTTCCTCTAATTCTTGTGCCTAGATCACCGTTCTTTCCTTTGTGGAATTATTTTCCTTAGTTCCTTTCACCTAATAATCGTCTCAATCTGTAGAAAACTCTTTCATAATAGAATTTTTTGTCCAATTTAATAACTAATTCGACTAATTCGATGATTCTCTTCACCTATTATCATGTCAAGTTGACTCCTTTATATTATATGCATTGTGATGTGGGTGAACCCACAAACCCACCCGCATCATCCACCATCCGCCCGACCCAACCCGAGACTAAATGTGGGTGGGTGGTGGGTTAAAAATTATCAATCCGTTTAAGCGCGGGTGGGTGCATTTTATGGTCAAAATCCACCCGACCCACCCAATGCCCACCCCTACTAAGGAGGACGACTTCTTCTTCTTCTTTTCTCCCAAACTCCATTTTCCCAACTCTTCCTTTCTTGTTCCCAAATCCCTAAAACAAGTATCTTGTGATTATATATCTAGCGATTCCCATATTTAAGAGCCCTAGATGCACACGCCTAGATCAAGGTTTCTAACGGCCGGTGTCCAAATTCTCATTCCATCGGCTAGAAGGATTATACGAGGGCCTGTCTCTTATATGAAATTGAAGAGCATCTTATAACAGTAGTGTTGCGACTAGGGTTGGTCATTTCCCACTAATATAATGTATAGCTAGTTTTGTGATCACATATCCCTTATACATATGGATATGATCCCACTGATCACCAAGTTCAACTACAGCCAACTTTAAGCATAAAGGGTAAAGTTAAGTTTGTCGCCGAAGCGCATTACTTAATTCGTGCGGGTCTGAGAGCAGAGAAAGCATAACTACTTTTATACTTGAGGAGTTGACTTATAGAAACAAACAACACTTAAATATATTCTTCTTAGCTAGTTTGAGGCCATAAGAAGAGAGAGGAATATATAATGTCATTAATTAGCAGGCCTTGTTCATCAATGAATGTGCCCTAATAAATGAAAACCAACCAACCCACTTGATGGAATGAATGGATGGATGGATGGATCTTCCTTTTGTTTTGTCGGAGCCAGTATAATTATATTGTGTGGATGGGGAAGAGAAGAAAGAAGCAAATAATAATGACGAGAAATTATAAATGGAATGCAATTGCAAAGTAAAGAGAAGAGAAGAAAAGAAAAGCTTGGGAAAGCTGCAACTACTATAGCAAATGCAAGAGCGCAGCATATCAATCACAGAGTTTGGGGCCTTTGCTTGTTCTCCTGGTATTCCACTTTGCCAGGTTTCACCATTTTGTGTACCATTTCTTTCTATCATCCCTCACCTCCAACTCCAACCAAATCAAAGCAAGTAAGCAACCCCCTCCATCACCCTAGCTATAGCTTCCATAATAAATACAGAAAGGTAAGTCGAGAATCACCATCGATAACTTTTTATTTTAGAGATCGAATTCTTTTTTATTATAGTATCTCATGCATAAGTTACGGTTCATCTCAGAAGTATTCGGTATATATACATACATGAGAGTATCGTCATTTGGACCTATGAAGTATAAAGATATAGCATGATAATAATTTTATAATATGAACCTTACATGATGTGATAATTATTTCATTTATGTTCTACAATCAACTACTTTTTATCATGTTGCATACGACAGCCATTCATTAAAAAATGAATTATGATGCATCGATAAATAGCATCAAATACGCTGGATTAAACTCTGCGTACATTCAAATACATATTATTTTGATCCTTGGTTGTTTGTTCTTATTAATCCATGTATGTATATTCCCTTGCTAGTTGCCACCCTTTCCCATGTTTCTAGGTTATTCTCCTTCTTTTTTTCCCCCCTGCCGTATCATACATATCAACATATGTACATAAATTTTCTTTTTGTTTTTGCCCTCACTCCCATTTCCTTTTTGTTGTTCTATGTTTTGGGGAAGGGAAGGAAAAAAAAGGGAATATCCTCTTACTTTCTTTTCATCATCTCTATCTCCTCTCCCTCTTGCTTCAGCTCCTAGCTGTTTGCTCTCTGACCGCCGCACGCCGCTTCCTTCCGATCACCGGACAGCCGACTCTGTTCTTATCATCATCACTACTACTACTAGCTATGTTGAGCTCCTTCAATAACACCACTACTTCATCCTCCTCCCACGACCCCGACGAAGACGAGCCATCTCCTTCCACCACCGCCGCCGCCGCAGATCTGCACTTCCACCACCTCATGGCCCCACCACCACCACCACTGTCCTTAGCATTACCACCTCCACTGGCCGCCATGGCCTCATCCTCCTCATTCGCCACGTCGGCAATCCACGTGCGGCACCTCCTGGCGAGGTGCGCGGAGCTGATGTCATCCTCCTCCTCCTCCTCCTCCTCAGGCCACGCACACCGCCTCGTGGCCGCACTCTCCGCCGCCTCCTCCCCTCTCGGCGACTCCACGGAGCGCCTCGCCCACCAGTTCGCCGCCGCCTTCTCCCTCCGCCTCCACAACCGAGTACTAATCGACAACAACAACACGGCGGCGATGCAGTCTTGCTACCTGTCGGTGAACCAGATGACTCCGTTCATAAGGTTCGCCCACCTGACCGCCAACCAGGCCATCTTGGAGTCCGTGGAAAGCGAAGCCGGATGTGGGATCCACATCGTGGACTTGGACATCATGCACGGCGTCCAATGGCCGCCGCTGATGCAGGCGCTGGCCGAGCGCCGCCCTCCTCCTCCCCTCCTCCGCATCACGGGAGCCGGCAGCGACCCCGACACCCTCCACCGCACGGGCAGCCGCCTCTCCAAGTTCGCGCACTCCCTGGGGCTCACCTTCCACTTCCACCCCTTGCTCCTCCAACAACACCAACCACACGTGGTCAGATGCTCGTCCGTGGCGGTGGTCCCAGGGGAAGCCCTAGCGGTGAACTGCATGTTCTACCTGCACCGCCTAATTGTCTCGAACCAGCAGCAGCGGGAGGAAGAAGAGCAAGTGTTGAGGTTGTTTTTGAGTGAGGTGAAGGAGGAGCTCTCGCCGCGGGTGGTGACGGTGGGGGAGAGGGAGCTGGAGGGGCGGGAGGTGGGGGAGGCGGTGGAGTACTACGGGGCGGTGTTCGAGTCGCTGGAGGAGACGGTGCCGCCGGGGAGCGGGGAGAGGGCGGCGGTGGAAGGGGCGTGGTTCGGGAGGGAGATCAGGGAGGCGGTGGCGATGGGAGGGAGCAGCCGGAGGATGGAGTGGTGGGGGAAGGTGATGCGGAGGGCAGGGTTTGGGAACGTAGGGTTGAGCCCTTTCGCCGTCTCGCAGGCAAAGTTGCTGCTCAGGTTGCACTACCCTAGCGAAGGGTATCGTCTCCAAGTGGTGGATCGGGAGGTTGAGGAAGATGATGATGATGATGGCGAGACGAAGCTCAGAGGGCTGTTGTTGGGTTGGCGGGATCGGCCTCTCTTCTCCATCTCTTCCTGGCGATAGCCTAGCCTAGCTATGAGCTTCATCGTAAGATGATGATCCAATAATATTGAAGAAGGTTACATTTTGGTGGGTTGTTAATTTAGTTTTAACGTAAGTACGTATTAATTAATTAGTGAGTGAGTGGCCGGGCATCACATTACTAATATGTAATGAGCTTAGGCTAATAATTTTATTCCCTGATCGATGTATAATTTTGATTAGGACACTGTGCTTGCATGATAAGCTTTGCACTAAGGAAAAATATAGCTAGTGCGAATCAAATGTATATTATTGGTTCATTGGTCAATTTCCATTACGGCAAGTGAGTGACCCACAAAGAAGAATGTCAAAAGCCAAAAGGAGGTCATTATTATGATTGATCGATATTCAATTTGATGCTAAACCTCTCAAATATGGTACGTACGTATATGATTGATTAAGAAAAAAACACAAGTGGTGAAGAGATATCGGATTCGGTCGCTTCCATTAGTTTAGTTGCTTCAAGTTTTGAAGGATCCTCTATATTGTGACCCACAATATATACAACTATAGAAAGAAAGGTAAGGTATGAAGGATCATATTGAGATGACTAGCTAGAGGTTGACCCTAATTCCGACTTTATTCCTTTCTGCGCGCTGACCTTGCTAGCTACCGATCAGGACGTGATCATTAATTATTAATTAATCAATTAAGGGTTGGTTAACATCGTGATGATCATTATTGGTTGGAGTACACGTGCATGGTAATGGGTATATATATATGCTGGTCCTGTGCTGCGATCCAATTAAATTAAGGGCATGGCCTCTCGTGGAAAATTCAAAACCATGCATATATATGCATGTATAAATTTATACTCTTTGTGGATAGATACAAAAACTTATTAATTAGAAAGCTAAACTTATGTGTCTCGTTTCATTTTTCTCTGAACCCCGTACAAATTTTGTATTTTTTCCTTCAATAATACTAGTATCGCAAAAACCTGATCGTCTAGTCATCATTCATTGTACATATGCTACTAACGCCATAAGTTTAGGTTACATTACTACTTCAGGAACCTTGCTCATCGATTTTCTTAGTACACACGTGTGCATTAGTATAGCATAGTTCCTTACCTTTAATTGATTCTTTTCTTGAGGTGTATAGCTAGGGTTTGGGGTTGGAAATTGATGAGTGATGCAGTACCAGAGCATCAATCCATCATTGTCATAATACTTTTTTTTTAACATTTCAAATTAGACATCTTTGTGGAGACATATATGATCAGTGGGGTATACGTAATGCGTATCTTTGACATACTTTCATTCCCCTAATATCCTAATATCCTCTCTTCTCCCTAGCTAGCTTATAAACTTATAATAAAACCATTTCTTAGTTGGTTAGTTTCTAATTGATATATTTTCCCCTTCTTTTGCTATATGTGGAAGAGAGCATTTCGAATTTTGCGAGATTGTCTCTTTCTTCCCTGCCCGTGTGGATTCTCCTCATCTACAAATATTTTATTTTAACTATTAAAGCTTAAGTGGGGATCTTTCTTAGTTACCTAGCTAATATATATAAATAGAATTTGTATATGTTCCATGATGTTATGTAAAGCAAAAGCACCTCCCTTCCCCCCAAGAGGGCGTTTCTCCTTTTGTCTCCATTTGCTTAAAATAACATTTGAAAAATGGTAATGGTGGATCACTAGTTGCTTGTTTCAACCCTTTTCCTTTTGTTGCTATTGTTGTTGGAATATAATGGTAGTGTTGGTTGTGTCTTGGTGCCTTGGTGGTGTGTTTATGCCCAATGGAATGCCTTGTCTTACCCCTCTTATCAATATTCCTTTTGGCTGACTTTTATGGGTTCCACGATGATGAGAGTAGTACTCTCTTGGTAGCAAGCTACAAGAAAATATGATACATGTATCCAAATTATATATCATATCATAGAATATCTAATCAAGCATGCATGAGCTTTGAATATCAAACAATTAATTAATGATGTAATCATATTCCTTCTTTTCTATATATGCAGATCATAGTTTGAACAATCATCAATGTCGATCTACCCTTGTAGTTGTAATATACATAATAATTGGTATTAACACCAGAAGCAATTTAGAGTGGAGATTTCATGAAGCATGCTTTCTTTCACCATCATTCTTCTAGCTAGCTATACCATGCATGACTGGCTTGATTCCTTGTGCATGTATGGTCGAACCTCTCTCGTATTAGTTTACATATAGTAAATATACCCTTGGAAAAAGATTAGAGAAAGACTCAAGATGTTGTCAAGGTGTAAATAAGTTGTGTTTTGGTCTGTGAGTCTAGAGCTAGCTAAGATAGGCCAGCTTGATTGTGTTATTGCTTGTCTTTTAATATTGATACACATGCATATCTATATGGCATCAAAATGGTGCCCTAATTTCTGCCCTTTGTCCCCTCTCAACAAAACCATTGGATTTCTCAAAAAAGGACCTTTTCTTGCCCACCCTTTGCCCCCTTCTCCCCACCTCCCCACATTAATTCATCATCACCACCATAAAAAAGTTTTCTAGGTTTGAGAGAAAGATGGATCGATGGGAATCAAAATATCCCAATCCTTAGTAATTTATTAGTTTAGGATACCCTTTTATGAGGAATCAATTGCTTAATTAACTAACTACCTCCTCAAATTCTTGCATCATTTCTATTTGCATGTCTCTCTACTAGTATGTAGCTAGCTTAGCTGCCTACAGGCATCACGTTTCCCCCCTAGCTAGCTTGTTACTTTTACCTCAAGGGGAAGGAATCTATATATCCATCCTTCAGGGAGGGGGAGAAAAGAAAGGGTATCTAATGATGAAATGAGCACCTGATCATAATGTGCCACAATCTGGTATTAGGGCTTCCTTCCAAATGACCCACATATATATACTAGCTAGCTAGCTAGTAAAAGCATTCTCTTTAATACGACGATACATAACCGTGGTTCAAATTTCATTGCCGTCGATATTGAGAATACTACTATTGCTTGTAAAAGTATCAAGCAAGAGTATTATGCAGTTTTTCAGATGATGGTGAAATTCATATAGAAAGCAACATCTAGAAATCATATACGTACACAGCTGGAGAGGACAAAGCCTTATTACAAAGTGTAAGACTATATACAGTTCCAGTATGTTACTAACGTTGTGTCATTAAACGAGCTAGACTCATGGTGGCTTCACTTGGCAGTTGGCACTCATTGTTTTTGCATGCATGCACTCACTAACTCGGCAAATTTTGACAGAAAATGGAATCAAACGTTTGCATCTTGGTATCAAATATTGGAGTGGGAGAGTCGGAGAGAGGTAACAAGTTGGGAAGTAGAAGTGGAGAGGTAACAAGAGATGGATTTATTCATGTATTATGGCTGGCAGTGGCAACTTGGGGAATACAAGTGGGATGGGAAGGGGTTACGTAACGTTTGTTTGTAAATAATGTAGGGTTTCCTTTCATTTCCTTTGGCTTTGGGTTGCCTACTTTCTTTGCCCCCTGCCGTGTGATGGGTAGCTGACATGGATAAGATGGTCACTAGCGTGTATTGTAGATTTGTAGTCCCAAAACCCACAAGAGGGAAGGAGAGAGAGAGAGAGAGAGAGAGAGAGAGAGAGACCATGAAAGAAAGAAAGAAAGAAATGCATCATATATATCAATGGGGAAACAGAAGGAATGGGAAAAAGGGAAACCCAGACCAGACTAGAAGATCGATCGAGATGAGAGTCAGAGAAGCCGTCTGTGACTGTGGATATATGGCCTTAGCCGCTCTCACTCTGCTAATTTCTATTTGATTATTTGGATGTTTCAAGTCAAAGAGAAACACACACGCTTGCTAAGCTAACATCCCACGTTACGTACATACTATATGTTCATGGCTCCATATATAATATAACAGCTCGTATTCGTATTGTATAGCTAAGATCGATGGCTCCATCCATCTCTATTCATTATATTTATATATATATCCATATTCCATTCCATTTTCTGTCAATATATATAATATAATATTCTTTCGCCTTGGAGCTGTCGTGTTTCTCCCATCAAATCGAGATGGATAGATAGATAGATAGATACCAGGCAGGCAGGCAGGCAGCGGATGGAAGTAACTTAGCTAGCTTGTTGGCCTTTCCTTTGCTTTGCTTTGCTGCTGTTGCCGATTTATTGCTCCTCTTGCTCACCTACCTCCTGCTCTGCTGCATCTGCCTTTTCTTTTCTTTTCTTTTCTTTTCTTTAATTTGCAGAAAACTAAAACTACACTACACAACCCACCCAACTGACTACCCAAGGCAAGGTGTCTTGTTGTTCTGCTTGCTCTGGTTTTCAGCTTAATTTGTTTCCACTCATAAATCATCATTCCCGGCCAACTATTTTCTTGATGGATTGGATGGGTTTGGGGTTTTAATTTAGGAGACAAGCTAGCTAGCTAGCTAACTACCACGTGAATTGAACAGATACAGATGGCCATTTCAATATCCATCCTTCACACTAGTTCATGCATGCATGCATGGTGTATGTTTTACCTCCATGCAATTCAAGTTATCAATACGAATTGAACTTTGCAACAGGGCTAGTATTATTCAGCATTATTAACTTTGTAGCGATAGTTAAATTTGATCAAAGCATTTGTTTTAGAGTACAGTTTTGTATATCCATCATCTCTCAAGAACCAGTTGATACCAATAACTCGAGTTGTTGGAAGATGTTCAATTGTGGATCATATACCATTTATTAATGAAAACAAAATGGTAATTAATTATATATTACTAATTAATTACCCCGTTATAATTATGCTAAGGTAAAATACATATATGTAGGAAACAAAGAGGACAGCTGAGGGACAACATGGAGCGGATGGACAACAAGTTTCTCGTAATTGATGTTGTTATATTGTATATGCCATTCCGTCGCCCCCGGCCACCATGTCGTCGATCTGGACCCAAAGCAACAATCTCCATCAATATTCTTCCTTCCTTCCTTGTACTCTAATTAACTTCCCAATGCGCTGTGTAACGAATAAAATAACGTTGACAATATCAGAGGATGGGTGAAGCAAAGTCAGGTCCCCGATTTTATCAGAGTTTAGAACTGTGCAATCAGCAAAGCTGGAATAGCTCAGTTGGCTAGAGCGTGTGGCTGTTAACCACAAGGTCGGAGGTTCAAGCCCTCCTTCTAGCGGGTCTCTTTTTACCCATTTTTTTACTGTTCACGTGTGGGGTTGGTCTTTTAGGTGTATACAAACAAATTTTACTGAGACAGATGTATAGACTATAGAGTAACTGAAGTGATGGGGGGGGGGGGGGGGGGGGGGGTGTGCGTGAACAATAAGGTAACGTAGATGTGATCTGTGCACAACACTGCAGCAGCATCACTTCATCTGCAGAAGCAAGCCAGCAACAACACCCTCACAAAAAAACAAAAATGAAAGGCAGACCTGGAGTGAAATTATACTGAAATGAGAATAAGATACCGACCATTTATGTATTCATACATAGATAAATTAAATAATATCTGTCTGTGTTGATGTAGAGATGAAGAAGTACGTACAGACAGAATGGCCGAGAGAGAAGAGAACCGCCCAATTGGGATTGGGAACTTGTGGTAAGAAAGAAAGAAAGAAAGGAGATCCCTGAATTCCCAGGGCCCCCTAGCTACCCTGTTGCGTGCTTCCATCGGCTCAAACTCAAACAATACTAGCTAGTCAACCACTCCCACAGGCCACATGTTTACTTGCTCCTGTAATATTTATTAGGTCCAAAGTTAACTGCTTAACAAACATTGAACCTGGGTGATGAACTATGGTTATAACTTTTTTTGTTTTTTTATCATACAACTTTTTAAGTTACAAATGAGCAGATTACTTCTCTAGAGAACAAATTTTGCATCTTTTTGCATTTTAATCTTGTTATTATTCTGCAGAGGAAACTGTCCAGTATACAACAGTGGATGATGCTCTTCTTATTCTGCACTGTAAATGTAGGCTTCTCAAGACAAGAGTTGGGGTCCAACAACCAAAGTTTGAGTTAATTTCACAGGGGGCTCTCAAACAAATATCAGATTCTACAGGAAATCCCATGATCATCATCTGAGTGCAGCAACCAACACGGAAAACACCAGCCTGCAAGATCCCTGCCTGTATCGATAGCTGAAGCGGAGTTTAACGTCCTTTCTTTCTCTCTTTCCAGGCTGATGCTTCTTCCATTTCTGTACTGAATCGTTTTCCTTTTTCCTACAGGGGGAATTCTTTCTGGAGAACTTCCAGGTTCCTTGAATCGCAAGCGTCCATCAGGTCGTTCCTAGATGCACAGCTGCAAAACAGTAGGAGAGGAGAAGGTGATGTTAACAGAACCTCAAGCAGCAAGAGGTATATGGCCGGGATGGGTACATGTCGTGGAGTATAAGAAGCATACCTCAGTGAAATCCTCAAGTATTGCCAGGCATTATCTGCCTTTGGATTCATTGCCAGTGCACGGACGTAGTACCTTATTGACTCTTCATACTTTCCCTGCGACGAGAGAAAGAAAGAATTCAGACAGGTTAGACTAATCTCAACTCCCAAGCATATACCCTAAATGAACCTTTGCAAAGTTCAGTTAAATTCTCCTTCTAAAACCATACCATAAATCATGCTTCTCGAGGGAAGTTGAGAAATAAGCCAAAAGTACCATTAATTTGCACAAAACCGTATGACATGTTCAAAACAAATACATAGTTGTTGAATGGTGATTCTGTAGTAATACCGTACTAGGGATCATTCATATGATCCAAAATGTTTGTAAAAGCAGCCATAAGAAACAGCCGGGTACCAACAGCACCAAGATTCTACGTTCAGATATCATAGCAAGCAACAGTATAGAGGTAAGGACCTGGTTGGCGAAACTGATTCCCAAGTTTGCCCAAGCACGCACATAATTGGGCTTCAAATCAAGGGCCTAAAACAGAGGGGAAAACAATATTACAATCACCACATCAACAAGTATATATATTGAAAAAGAAAAAAAGAAAAAAGGGAGTGATAAGCACCAAGCTTGTTCCACAGGGAGTGAAAAAGCCAAGACACTAGACTACTTGGCCGTTGTTGGGTAAATATTGATAAATACATGAGATATGCATCAACGAAACCCTCAGAAAGCTTTATCTCATAGGGTGGCATTTACCTGCTGATAAGCTAATATAGCATCAGCACTTTGAACGCTATTTGCCTGTGTAGCACCAAGCTTGTTCCACAAGGAATAATCTTGTGGCTTCAGTTTAAGGGCAAGTTTGAAGGAGTCAATGGCTTTATCATATTCTCGTGACAAGTTGTAAAGCACTCCAAGTACTATGTGCACGTCAGCATCTTCAGGAGACAACTGAGCAGCTTCCTCAAACAACCTAGCTACCTGCATATCGAGGTCTTTATCAGAGGGGAAAATGGAAGTAAGATCTGCTGGATCTAAAGCATGTTTTTCCAAAAGGAAATCGAATTTTCATGTCATGAGTTTTAGGCACATGTGGTTGGGTTAACACACAAATGGTGTCTTTGTCTTCATCCCAGTGATGAATGAACACCAAAGTAGCCCAGTTTTACAAAGACTAGCACTTACATCTGCATAAAACAAAGAGGGAGCCTCCGATGGCGCAAGAGTTCCATACTTTGAGTGGTTGCGTAACCATCCGTATAAATACTTTAGCGCAGCTGCCTGCTCCATCTCTGCAACGACAAATATGGTTACTCCAGATTAAATGTAAAAACGAGGATAGGCATCACATTAGTAATACACTACATAAAAATCTGAAGTATAAAATAATTTTAAAATCCTTATGAAGTACTAATCAAAACAAACAAAATTTTGCGATTTTTTCACATTTGCCAACAAACCCAAGTAGTTGACCATTACTACGAAATATTATAGAAATTTGAGTCAACAAGGATGATTTAAAAGTGTAAAACCATGACTAACCATTAGTGTGGCTAACACCAAGAGCTAGGAGGACTTCAAGATTTGTGGGATCAGATTCATGTGCACGCATCATAGCTGCTATGGCCTGTCAAGACCAAATTTCTTAGATGAGCCCCCAATATAGTAAATGATAAGAAAACAGACATGCTAAATAGCTACAGAACAAGAAAATCTTGATGGCAGCTTGAGAAGTGACAATCACTTGTCACAACCCAAGCGATGACTAGTTCACCAACCATGCAATAAGCGATAAATCTCGAGAATGATAGAGAAATAGAACCAGTTCATCAACTATCTCAACCAGCAAAACCAACCAATCAAGGTATATGTGATATACTTATATTAAAATCAGAAAGAACTCTAATATAATGATTAAATAGCCTTTGAATAACCTGATGATCATCATCATTCTCGGCATTTGCTATTCCAAGCAACCTCCAACCTTCAGCATTTTCAGGGTTTTTCATTACTTCAGCCTCTAAAGCAAGGACTGCTTCACTTAAAAGACCTTTGCGGAAGAGCTCTTGGCCCTCCTTCAAGGGGTTGGGATGACCAACATAAGGATTCATCTCGGAAAACTCATATGCTCCCTTGGAATTCTGCTGCTTAGCAGCCATTTGTTCATTCAAATAACTGCAAACAATATCACATGCCGATAAGCTAACTATAGCAAGATAAATCGAAAGAGGAAAAGAACAACCAACAAACAGATGACTAAGAGTATACGGAATCACAACATAGTATATGATAAACAAGATCAGGTGAAAGAAAATCTACTATACTATCAATGACAAAAAAAACAACTTCATAAGTTACCGATTGATGAACAATGTGGTAACTCAAAGCAGCAATTGAACAAAGATTAGAGAAAGCATTAGGGTCAGAAGGTTTCAGCTATAATTACTCGTCATATGCATTTGTCCAACCATCAGCTGTATCATCCTCCTTCAACTGTTGTCCAAATTCTTCCACCCAGTCATTGACATGCAACTTTGAGAACTCATTTACCCACTCATCATCAGCAGGCCCATTTTGCTCCCTTCCAGTAACGAACTCATTTGCCCACTGATCTGGGCCAGCAGAAAGCTGAAAAAACAAAAACAGAGACTTCAATAAATCTTGATGCAGGAGGCTAGCCGTTATAGGGGCATAATATAGATTGTTTCAAATAGCAATCCTGGTGCAGATGATTGATAGTCCAGCATCGGCTTTATTATGTGGAATGTAACAGTTGGCATTTGTATAGAACAAGATCATTGGTCCTAGCATATGATAATAACCAAAAAGACTAATTTACAGATTGTAATTAACACAAGGAAACCAAGAAGTGGAACATCCTTGTTACCCATTTGCTAACAAAAAGAGCACACACACACGCACTACTTGCCTGGTTGTTTGCATACTCATCAGCCCATGAAGGGCCAGCACTGTACTGCCCTTGATACTCGGAAGCCCAATCCCCAGCTGCAGAGGGCATTGCAGGCTTGACTTGATTATCATCAAAAATGAGTTCACCGCGGCTCATCTTTGACACAAACTGCAGAAACTTTGAGTTCTGCAAACCATAGAGTAAAGATATAAACACATGTCCATGCATCCAGAACACAGATAGCTAATGGAAAGATACGTTCATCATGTCCATATATGATATATCATCTATGAACTATGGCGAACAACTAAGCCTGACAGCCAAACAAAGCAAATATGCCAAGACAAGAGTCGACAATGCAATTTTATGAATTGGCCTTTATCAGTCATGCTGTCAATCAACCTGAAATTTGGGATTGCTATTTAAAGCTAGTGTGTGTGCCAGCATACGACTCTGCTCCATTGCAGCCAAATCTGGGATATTTGCGCCTCTTGTCAGATCTAATGATCCCAACCGCTGCTCCTGTATAGGGAATGGCAATTAAAGGAAGTGAGAGAGCAGTGCTTTATAAACACAAAATTGCAATGAGTAAAGAAAAATGTGATGTATGTGATTATTAAACTGATGAGAGACACCTCCCACTGGAGTATTCAGTTATGGTGGAATGCAATTCCACAAACAAAGAAAAACACTATCTTACCTGCTCAAATTCAGATGCCCAACCATTGGTTCCATGTTGCTGTTCAAATGAGTTAACCCAGGGATTGGGATCACCATAGTCTACCCTGTTGTAAGTAAATTCTTTAGCCCATCCATCGGCAGCATGGGGAGCAGGAATGAGAGCACCTTGAGACTCATTCCAATAATTCTCAAGTTCTTGAGGACCAGGTCTGGCAGCACCTTGAGACTCATTCCAATAGTTCTCAAGCTCATTAAATTTTGAATGTGGTGGCCCATTGGCGTGCACTTCATTGTCAATGTCCAGTGTAGACAGTAGTGTATTTACCTAGATTCAAGAACATAAACTAAGTCTTACCTCTTTTCATGCGTGTTCAGCACAAGGATACATCAGCCAGAAAAAATTGTAAACAGAGAGCCACATACCTGAGCGTTGATGAAATCTTCACTCTTGTCAGCAAAAAGGTGTCGGGCCATTATGCTGCTACGGTCACGTATGCATCTTCTGTCACTTTCAGATAGTCCTAACGCAGGAACTGGAATGTGAGCAAGTGGAATTCCGTCCCGGCTACTGGCAACAAATGCATGTAGGCAGTTTGATAAAATTGCTTGCGGCGAGTCTGAAACATATGAAGAAAGATGTCATGCACAAGAGCAACAACACAAGAAAAAGAGCAATGATCAACAAACAGAGAGAGTGAGAGAGAGAACATATGAGGTCCTCGGAAACTAGGCTATATAATTCTAGCGCTAGTTAAAAACAAAGGCAGTTAAGAACCTACCAAAATAGATGCATTCCATAAGCATCAGAAGCAGAGATAGTTAAGGAGTTCCTTAAATAATGAGCTTATGCATGTACAGACTTGAAAATAGCAATGATAGCCAAATTTGTCACAAGTGATCCAAAGGTTGAACTATCAGTTTATTGGTACAATTATTCTGATGCGCAAAACAAGCATAGCTCTATCACTAGAATCATGCATTGCTCTCCAATGAAGGAAGCATGCACAAAGAATGACTTTTTCCCATCACATTCTCCATGATCTAAATGAGCCATCATACAAAGAAATCCAAAATCTGCATGCATTTAACTCCAGCAAAGCAATTGCAAAGTTATATATCAGTTTCAAAGCTAGCATATCACAACTTGCAACTGTGCAGTCAGTACAACCCCAACTCGTATGCTACTTCTCAACTACACTGCAAATTTTGTTTGAGCACCACCCACAAGCAATTTAAATTCTGAAACTACATTCTAATGAACTTGCCATGTGATGTGACTGACATAGTGTTATCAACTCATAGCTGGTTCAACTACCACTTACTACAACCCCAAAAACAAAAAAACACAGCATCCACTGCTAAGTTCAGTTATAGCAATTCAATTGCCGCAATTACCCACCAACAGCTGGATCAACCATAACTGGTTGAGGAATAGGAAGGCCGGCGTGATGAGGACGATAGAGTCCAGGTGCCTCCACCATCTGTCCATTTACCTCATCCCAAACATGACGCATCCCATTCTGCTCAGCACCACGAAAACCTTGAAGAAACTCAGACCCCTGCCGAATTCCAGAAATGAACATTTGAATCAAGCAGAAACAAAACAAGACCAAATCAACCAAATAATAAGGGTGGGGGAAAGTAACCTGAGCAGTGGCGGGAGCAAATGGCCCATCGACTTCCGTCCCAGGGAGTGCCGTCAGAGGATCCACGGGTTGCTGGAAGAACCTATTCTCCCCACCGGTCGATGTCGACGTCGGAATTTCGTTCAGCCGCTCCTGTCGTTTCCGCAGGCAGAGAGAGGGAGAAATTCAATTTTCCATTTACGAAAAACGGCGATGAAACGAAACCGCCGGCCGGAAATTAGCAGTTACCGACTAACTAACCTGAGTCTTGGAAGATGAGCCGACGAGAGCGTTGGCCAGGGCGCCGAGGGGATTGGAGGAGGAAGACGAGCCAGGGACGGCGCAAGCGGCGCCTCCCGAGACAAGCTCCCGCATCGCCATGGACAGAGTAAGAGATTGAAAAGAATTGGAGGAGAGGGCAGAAGAAAGAAATGGAGGAGGAAGAGAAATTGAGCTCACAGGAAGCAGTAATGGAGCTTACTTCTTCCCCGATGGAGCTCCGCCTCTTGCTGACGGCAAAAAATGGGGGAAATAGCCACGAAATTTGACAGGAAAATTGGGGTGGATAATATTTATTTCTCGGGGTTCGGTCATTCAGTTACTTACGTCTCAGCGGCTATTTCTTCGTCTCCGCCCCCAGTACTTTAGTTTGTTAACATTTTGGTCCCTTGAACAATGCTACAACTGGATTGTTGGGCCTTAGGGCCCAAAACTTTCTAAAGGCCCGCCCAACAGAAGATTTGTCGTGATGAACATCTGGTGAAGATATGGCGCCAGAGTGGCACAGTACCCAATGGCAGCAGCAGCAAAGTGATGACACCCACCAAAGCTACCGTCTTCTTCTTCCTCCGCCCATAACTTTCCATGCTGTCATCGTTGAATGGTATAAAATATGCAACTTGCTGACTCCCTCTAGCCCATTTCCTCTTCCTTTCCTCTCCCAAAAAAACCAGTTCACTCCATATAGATAATCTGATAATCATAATCATTCATCATCCACCAAATCCCAACTCACCCAGCACAAGACGAAGCCGCTCTTCCTTCCTTCCTTCCTTCCTCAGCTGGTAATTAACCTCTAGCCTCCAATCAATCTGTGTGTGATCCTTCTATCCCTGTCTGCTTTTCCTGCTTGTTCTGATGTTCTGGGCCATTTGGGTCTTTTGCAACTAATGGAGAATCTTTCTTATGAGAGCTTAAAGTTCGGTTATTTGTATTTTTTATAGGAAAAGTTGAGCTCTTTTGGTTTTTATGCCGATCCAGGTAGTCAGAATTTCGTTTATTGGGTCTGTCTAGCTCGGTGAAAATCGAAATTGGCGATATGGGATAAGAGAATTTTGTAAGCAATTTCGAGAATTCCAGCAAATTTCACGCCTATGGGAACATCCCAATGATGCTACAATTGCTAAGAGAAAGTAGTCAAGTTGAGGCCTTTTGTGTCAGAATCAAACCAAATCTTGGACTGACTAGTGTTTTGTTTCTGTAAGAGTTGAGTTTCAACAGTGCAAGTCTTTCTTGTTGGTTGCTTGATTCATTATCTGATCAAGTAAAGAGTTGTTGGATGGCTTCATATCATCCCAATCTAGCTGCAATATCCTACCTTATATCTGGAGATCCGTCCATTCTTCAATATCCTGCCTTATAATCCGGTTCAGGTCCATCACTTCCCTTAGTCCTCTTCCTGTGAGGCATACCTCATTTTGGAAGCAATCAGAGGTTCATGTTTCAAGTTTATACTCTTGTGTCAGCATTCGCTATCCACTCGATTTGGTTGTGCAAAAGGTTCACTGCCTTCTCAAGAACTCAGAACAGTCCAATTTCTCCTCGAAAATTCACCCCATAAAGCCAAGTTGCAGAGATCATTATATCATCCACAGTTTGATCTTTGTTGAGTGTGCTGCCTAAGTTTAGCGAGAAGCAGTTCGTACTTCAACTAAGCTAAGCTATAGAGAGGTGGTAATGGCAAAGTGAGGGTTGTCTTCTCTTGTTTATATAGCTCTATTTCATCACATTTTGAATGATGCCTTTCTGTTTCAAATACTGCTACTAGGCATGTTCAGTGAGTAAAGTGTGTTTTTTGAGTTGTTACGTTACTTCTATAAGCTCACCATTAGCCCTCTTACTCGGTTTCCTTTCATAATTCGCCTTGTTGCTGCAATATATATACATAATACATGTAATAATTCCTGCTCATCATCCCACAATGGGAATTCCCTTTTGACACCAAATTAAATGCTTCCTGCTGCATAATAATGCAGGGTGAGAGAGACTGAAATTGAAGATGGCAGGCATAGCAACAGCAGAAGCGTGCGACTCGAACGCCCCACTCCTGGCAAGTGGCGACCTCCGAGTCCTGCAGCCGGTGTTCACCATCTACGGGCAGAGCCGCATGTTCTCTGGCCCCATCGTGACGCTGAAGGTGTTCGAGGACAACGTCCTGGTGAGGTCGATGCTGGAGAGCAGAGGGGAGGGGCGAGTCCTGGTGGTGGATGGCGCGGGGAGCATGAGGTGCGCCCTCGTGGGGGGCAACCTCGGGCAGCTGGCTCAGAACAACGGATGGGCCGGGATCGTGGTGAACGGATGCATACGAGACGTGGACGAGATCAATGCCTGCGACATCGGGGTCAGGGCGCTGGCTTCCCACCCCATGAAGTCCAACAAGAGAGGGCATGGGGAGAAAGGCGTGAACGTGCACATTGCCGGAACTCTCATCCGTGATGGGGAGTGGCTCTATGCGGATAGCGACGGCATTCTCGTCTCCAAATCCGAGCTCTCCGTTTGAATGAATGAATGAATGAATTCGCCTTGGTTGTTGCTTTGCTTCAAACAATGTAATAACACTATGGAGAAAGGTATAAACCAAACTTGGAAGGACAAGGCAAGGCCACCCCTTTTTTTCTCTTCAGATTCTGTTTACTGTATCTGTCCCAAGTCCTAATAACACCCCCATTCCCTTTAGTTTGTTAACATTTTGGCGGTACAACTGTACAAGCCTACAACTGGATTTGTTGGGCCTCTGGGCCCAAAGCTTCATACAGGCCCAGCTCAAGACTCATCAGGTGAAAATAGAACTGAAGATAAATAGATAATGGCAGTAGCAGAAGCGCGAAGTGACTGCCCACCAAACCAACCAACGCTGTCTATCGTCTTCTTCGTCCGCCCCGCATACATAACTGTCTGTCATGTCATCACATCACCTTTGAATGGCAGAAAGTATGCAACTTGCTGAATCTCTCGACTCTAACCCATTTCCTCCTCCTCCTAGCTAGCTCCTCATGTGTTGGAGGCTCGATCATTGTCCCTCCTCCGTCCTCCTCATAGATAATCATCGTCATCTGCCAAATCACCGGCCAGCACAATCAAATCAAATATGTGTGTGTGTGTGTGTGTGATGTAGTTTTTCCTTGTTGTTTTGGGGCATTTGGATGTTGTGCACCAATATCCCACTGATGTGCTAGAATTGGTGAGAGAGATATTGGGGCCGTTTGCATTGTCGGCAGCAGCTACCTCCACCTAATTTAATTCGATATAATAATTGGTGGTTTGGTAGATATGCATAGTGAATGCGGGCCGGGCCTTCTATGCAGAAAAGAAAAGAAACGAGTAGAGTAAATGCGGGCCTTGCAGCTGCCATAACCATGGTTTCTTACTGCTCCATTTTGGAGAAAAACAGACCATGTAGTAGATCATATAGCTAGCTTCAACGGGCCGGAAAACAGAAGGTCAAGTGAAAAATGAGTGGAAGGAGAGCATCCCAACCAACCAACCCATATTTTCATTTTTCAGATCTCGGGGGTCTCTTCTTTAGCTATATATAATGCAGGAGCTAGAAGCCATCAAATCCATCCACCCCTCACCATTCCATATTTCATTCTTCCTTCCCAACATTTGCTTGTGAAAACAGGTGGTAGATACGAGATTCTCTTGTGAGTACGTAAAAACAGTAAGATGTTTTTTCTTTTGCGGAAACACACGTAGTAAAACTTCAATGTCATTTACTTACCCCGGCTGAGCTATGTTTCTCGTTATTTCTGAAAATAGTTGTTCATAGGTATATTGCATTCTTAATGTTAAGGAAGTAAATTGGTTGAAGGATGTTGGCTGCTTAAGTTTTGGAGGCTCTGCTCTGCCACCAGTTCCAACTTAATTAACCCGAGATATATTTACAGCATGTGCGTGGTTTATGAGTTGCAATTATAATGCATGATGCAGGGTGGGAGAGACCGAGGAAGAATGAAAGAAATGGCAGCTGGCGGCATAGCAACAGCAGAACTGTGCGACACGAACGCCCCACTCCTGGCAAGCGGCGACCTCCGAGTGCTCGACCCGGTGTTCACCATCTACGGGCAGGCCCGCATCTTCTCCGGGCCCATCGTGACGCTGAAGGTGTTCGAGGACAACGTCCTGGTCCGGGAGGTGCTGGACACCAAGGGCGAGGGCCGCGTCCTGGTGGTGGACGGCGGCGGGAGCATGAGGTGCCCGCTCATGGGAGGCAACATCTGCCGGCGGGCCCACGACAACGGATGGGCCGGGGTCGTGGTGAACGGGTGCGTGCGGGACGTGGACGAGATCAACGGCTGCGGTATTGGGGTCAGGGCGCTGGGCTCCCACCCCATCAAGCCCAACAAGAGAGGCCACGGGGAGAGAGGCGTCCACGTGCACATCGCCGGAACTCTCATCCGTGATGGGGAGTGGCTCTACGCCGACAGCGACGGCATTCTCGTCTCCAAATCCGAGCTCGCCCTCTGAACAGAACGTCTGTGGAGGAAGGTTTAAAGGTCATCCTTAGTATGTGATATAAGAATAAGACCTATTATTCAATTTTTTCCAAAAATTTGAATGATTGGAATCAATTGGTTTTTCTACATGGTGTTAAATTTTGTTAGCTATAATTGAAAGGTTTTTTATTTAAATCCCAATGAACCAATTGATATGCACACGACATGTGATAAATATGCGAATTTCAAATTCTTATGAATTGTTTTCGTTTGAATAAACGTATGAATATATAAACATATAAAATTTATTATCGAAACTCTCCTACCAACTCAAATAACAACATGATTTTTTTTCACTTCCGCTTCTGTTTACCCATTAACTACACGGTCTACACCTAATAGACTACCACATCGTCTATTTTCTTCAAAATGAAGCAGTAAACATAATCCTTGGGCCAGCCGCGATTAATTAGAAGGGTGTCGAACGAGTGGCCTAGCGTTCCCGGTATGGGTCCTGGACCGGAACCCTAAACCTCTGGGGGCCCGACTCTGTAAAAGAGGAAGGTCTTCAATGTTGTGACAGACAGGTGGGCTGTTTACGCCGGAGTTTCTGCCTCTCCCGTGAACGCGAAAAAGAAAGTCCGATGCCCCCATGGGCTCACCGGAGGAGAGGTTAGAAGGTGGTGGCTGCTACATGCCTCGCGGCCTGCCCTGTGGCCACTGTTATTTCCTCGCCTCTCCTAACACCCCACTTTTTTTTTCTCCATCGACTTAACCTATTAAACTGAGGATCCAATCCAGGCAAAACCGATTTTTAAAATGATAAGCATATCTTTTTTCTCCATCGACTTAACCTATGAAACTGAGGATCCAATCCAGGCAAAACCGATTTTTAAAATGATAAGCATATCGAATGGAATGCAATCTCACTTCATATCAGCTAATATGTTAAATCAATTAGTTTTCTGTCTTGAACAAATCATTTCGCATGCACTTCTAAATTGTCATCTACAAAAGGTCGGATTGATAAATTATTGTAATCAAAATGAGGATCAAACAGTAACAAAATGCATTTGATTTTCACTCAACCTAAAAGCATATATGGTTGGAAATGGAATTTCAACGTCAATTCAAACTCGAACTTCGCCTCTCTACATGTTTACGATGAATCCTGGGGAGTCTTTGCTCTAGAGGAGGGAAGACCAAGACCCTCGCCATTGTCCAATGTTCTAACTTCGCCACAGGTTGCTCCAACCTATTCAATGCATTTGATTTGGATTATCTAAAAGTTTTGTGGTTTTAGTAAAATAAATACATATGGAATTTAATGGACACGAGATCATATTGATAAATGAGTCACTAAAACGAGAACCCTATCGAATCAAATGAATTGACAAGAAATTGTATTGATAAATGAGTTGTTAAAACTTAGGTCACACAATTCGCCAGGAAGGGGTCGGCGCTCCCGACTTGGAGAGCGAAAACGCGAATTTGAGGGGATTCGAAGAAAATTCACGAATTAATGTTTGTTGGAGCGCGAATTTTGTAAACAAATTCGCGAATTTATTTCACAAAGACAGTGGAAGAGGAAGTGGCAACAATAATGACTGCCGAGATGGTGAAGGAGATGAAATCGGCGATTGGGTTGATGGAGAAAGGCGGGAAGAGGCTGAGTCTCTGCATGCAAACCGAAATGAGTTTACCGAGTATAGAGATCTTGAAACATGTGTAAGAACGCGAATAAGAGACCTCCTAGAATGTTCGGTGGGAGGGAGAGGGAGGCGGTGGCGGCAGCGGCAACGGGGTTGGCAGTCTCCGTCGCTATCACTTCGATGAGAAATCTGGCGGTGGAGTTGAAAGAAGAGATGAGTGTGAGGGGTTTTCGGTAATGCTTCCCTGCGATGGGGAAATGGAGTGTCGAAATTTGACCATGCTCAATTTAGGGATTTGGAATTTTACAGAGAAAAGGGAGAGTTGGAGAAGAAAGATGCGAGGAAGAAGACAGAATGAAGGGAAATAATTCCTTCTTGTTTATCTGTACTTATTTGTGGGCTCCAAATAGATACTAAGCAATAGTAAAAACCAAAGCCCACTTTTAATGAAACCAATCGCACCAAACGTAATGACTAATGAGAGGCCCAAAAGTTGGCTCTATGACATTATCTTACAGTAGGTATGGAGTTAATTTGTAGTTTAGTAATACAACTTTGTTCCTTTGTCCAAAATCTGTTAGTATATTATGTAATATATTTATTAAAAAATAATATGAACGCTTTCTAGGCGCTCTCAAAATATAATTCTCGTAAAATAGACGCTTTCGCGCTCTCGCTCCCGCTCTCGCTCCCGCTCCCGCTCCCGCTCTACGAATCGGTGAGCTAAGTTAAAACACTGATGATATCGAATTAAATGCAGTTTCGCTTCATACCAACTAATATGTCAAATCAACTATTTTTTGTCTTAAAAAAATTATCCCACGTGAACTCCTAGAGCAGCATCTACAAGAGGTATAGAGGCCAAGGTTGTCAACCCGCAGGTTGACCCACGGGTCGACCCAATTTGATCCTGACCCGGTGAGAAAAATGGGCCGCACGCACCTGCCGGGCCGACCGCTATAAGGTACCGGGTTGGAGGTCAAATTGTGTCATTTTTTTCTTTAGTTTGCGAAATGTGCCTATTTTCCAATTTTTATTTTCACCTAACTCAATCTTTGGAATACTAAAACGTTGGATGTGGAAATTTTAAAACGTTGAAATTTGTCTGAATTTCCATGTTTTACAAAACCAATGAATTGACTTGTGGAAATTGAAAAAAAAAATCACGTTTGGATAGGATTTAGTTTTGTGGGAATTGATGGTGTGGAATTTGGAAAAAAAGTAAGAAAACGTGGTAATGTCAAATTACTAGGGGGAGGTGTAGTATTCTCAATTACCATGAATGTGGTAATTGAAGCCAATTTCCATGGTCCAATTTCCATACCATTTTTGCTCTCCCAAACGTGGGTTTTTAACCCAATTACTGCATTATGTGGTAATTGGGTCCAATTACTACATTACATTTCCACATCCAAACGACCCCTAAGTTGAACATTTGAATATTTATGTTATATAGGTGTGTGTGAATTTTCACTATATGTTGGATCTAAGTACGATATGTTATTTTGGTGTAATATTATATGTTATGACTCATATGTTAGATAAGATTTGATATAATTTATGAGGATAAGTACAATATAATGACTCTTTCTATATTTCTGGGCCAAATCGAGCTAAAACAGTTGACCCATTAACCCTTGACCCACTAACTCGACCGGATCCGGGTCAACCCGCCGGTTGACAGCCTTGGGCCATATTGATAACTGATTTCAATCAAAACAAGGATCCAACTGTA